GAAGCAAACTGGAAAGACGTTGTTGCTTTTGTCAAGAAATACAATGACTATCTATTACCAACAGAAGCATTCAAAAGATTGACGCCCAGCACACAATGGTGATGGGAGCCGTTGCCGCCTGAGGGGGCCCAGCTAAAGTCACACAAATCTCCAATGGTAAATTCGACTTCTGTCACTTTACAGGTGCCGCCAAGACGACCTTTTCGTCGCACTCCGGGACCAAAGGTCACAAATCGGTGGCCAGGTAAAGGAGATTGGCAGCATTTGGAATATGTTGAATTGCCTTTGCGCATTGTAATGTGTGTGCCAGTGGGTGAAGAAAACTTGACGACTATGATGGGGACAATGCACATCCAAGTACCTGGCTGTGGACAAGTTCTACCTACACTGATGACAGTGGTCCATCTAGTCCAAGCTTCTGGTTTCTTCACCAATGAAGATTATACTATGATGGAAAAGAAACATTACGCTTTGATAAAAGATTCGTTGGTACTTCCATTTCCCATTTCCCGCCCGTGGTCACCTTTTCGAAAACGGCAATGGGGTTTTGGTAAACGGCACAAAGACAGGTCGAGTACCCATGATAAAGTGAACCCCATCTCTATGATTCACCACGCTTGGAAATTCCTTGAAGTCAACGATCGAAAGGAGTTTGTTCTAACTTGTCCGCAATGGAAGAAATGTGTGGAGTTGCGTCGCTTTGCGTCAGTCACGTCCCTCGTTTGTTTGCGGGAGGAACGTCCCATGCCGTCGGCAGGGATTCCAACTACCTTGGATCCTCATCGCGCGTGGCTTAATTCTGCAGGTTTACTACGGTTTGATTTCCACCATGGCGATTTTGTGCGCTGGCTTGGTGGCGAATATTCAATCAAGGTCGAGATTTCAATGCCGAATGGGATATTATCGAAAAGACGATGGATGGCAAGACCGTTCCAAAAGAATATCCTGCTGTGAAATTTGACATGGCGTACCGTATCCAAACTGAGGGAGCTCCACTACGTGCAAACTATACAACTCCAATGGAAGCTACTATCTTACGAAATACCTATGATAACCATCCTGCAGTATCCGCAAACATGGACTTTGATAATGGTGATGTTTTTTTTGTAACCTCCTTTAATGTGCTCGAACTTTTCTTCATTGGTTGTTGTGTTGGTTCAGTCTTGTCTAGTCTCTTGTATGGTGAGACAGCTCGAATATAGCCTTTCTCGCCCTCGCTACCCTCCGCAAGGTTATCACCTTTGGTTTCCTTGGACTTGTTTGTTTGATTTGATTTGTTTCCAGCACTCGTCAACTTTTTCTTGTAGCGCCAACTGAATCCAGCGGCACTTTTTTGCACTCCTCTCAAAACCATCTTTATTCTCTTCCTGGGATTTGTGGTATTCAACAAATGGCCGATTCGGTCCTCAACTTCTAGAACGTTGCTGAATTCCCCCAAAACCTCTCCCGTTTCAAGTGATACTTGTTCAATAATGCCTTCATCATCAGTATCGTCACAAGCGTCTGCATTGCTAGTGTTTGTTGCTGCTAGATTATTTTTTGCGTTGTCCGTCGACGACGCAACCTTCTCCTTCATCTTTGGCGACATGCTGCTGTCCAAGCCCATGTTTGGCGAGGCAGCTTGAGTATCGCCCTTGTTGCTGTCCGCACGATTACCACCTTTGGTTTCCTTAGACGAGACCGTTTGACTCGATATATTTCTAGCAGTAGTCGACTTTTTCTTGTAACGCCAACCGAATCCGCAGGCACTTTTTTGCACTCCTCTCAAAACCGTGAATATACTACTCCTGGGACTTGTGACATTCAACAAATGGCCGATGCGGTCCTCAATTTCTAGAACGTTGCTGAATTCCCCCAGAACTTCTCCCGTTTCAAGCGATAATTGTTCAATATTGCATTCATCATCAGTATCGTCAGAAGTGTCTTCGTTGCTAGTGTTTCTTGTTACTGACTTGGTTTTCGCTATGTCCGTCAAAGATCCAGCCTTTTCCTTCCTCGTCGGTGAAATGCTTTTGCCTAATCTCTTGTTGAGTGAGGCGACTTGACTATCCATTTCCTCGTCCTCCCTGCCGCCATTTCTGCCATCTTCCGGCCTTTCCTTGGTCTTGGGCTTGCCCCTCGCTTTCGATATGGTATTTGTGCTCGTAGACACTTTCTTGTATCGCCAAATATAGTTGCAGGCGGTCTTTTGCTTTCCTTTTAAAACTTTGCAAATGTAGTCGACGTTCATGGAATCGCCCAGTCTGTTGACGATATCTCGAGCAGAATTGAATTCACCCAAAACTTTTCCTGTATGTTGGCATACTTGTTGAATTATTTTTTTCATCATTCAAACTGCCAATCGGTGTCAGGAAGGCGTACCATTTCTCCTTGGCGAATCTTTACTCATTCTTCGGGCCCTTTTCTTTGCCAAATCCGGAGGTAAGTTCTTTTCCATGTCCACGAGGCATGACAATAGTTTGTTTCCAAGATCATCACTGACAGCTGCGTGTTTGAGTGTCGTTACGCAGACGTAAGCCCTTGCAACAAAGATCTCGCATTGACGACACATTTTGATATCGCCCGTGCGTGCATATTGGTCAGCAGGCTTCCTCGCCCACAATCTAGGAAATCTATCTGCTACCCCCCAAACCTCCAGAGCTTTCTTGATCAGAGACTGCAATTCGAGATCATGGCATATCTTACCTAGCACCGCTGTTGGCGCACGTGAAATCTTAATGTGTTGTAGACATATGAGCAGCATTGGTTTCGCGATGGTTCCCAAATTCTGATCACGGATCCTTCCTTCCAACCATTCTTCGCTGTATAGCTGCCCCGAATGCTTCACATGGTGATGCCAGTTGACCAGCTTCTTTGCAGCTTCTGCACCAAATAGGCGAATGGCATCTTTGTTTGGTATGAGTGACGGTTTTCTTCTACACATTTGTTCCTTTTGATTTTCCTGTTGATTTCCGTCTGGCTCGAACAAGTCTTCGAATTCTTCGAAAGGCAGTTCTCCAGTTTCAGCACTAATACCATCTTGGTAAGGTTTGCCCTTGATGTCTTTCATAGTGGGGATGCTACTATCATCGCTACTGCCCTCGTCTCTTTCACCACTTCCGTCGCTCTCATCGTTTCCGTTATCGTCCTGTTCATCAATTTCGCTATCATCTTCTTCACTTCTCTTCGCTGATACTATTTTGGAATATTGTTCATTGCTGAGTACCTTTTTACAGAGCTCGAGTACCACTGCCCGCTTCGCTTCGTCGCCCTCACAAGCCTCGAGAAAATCACAGGCCACTCTTTCTCTTGCTTCTTTCATCAATGTTTCGACGATAATGCCCGCCGACGATTGATCTTGACTAGATTTTCGCGCCATCGTGGAAACCAATCAGTCCGCAATCAGAACAACAAATTTGCTTCCACGGCCCGGCGATTGGATTGGCTGTTTTACCCTTGGATAAACGAATCCCCACCTTCTTTCTAGTAGCTAATTTCAGTTGCCAGTGGTAGAAATCCTTGCGCATTGGTGCAGCAGTGGCAGAAGCCCACTATGAAGGTGTTGGAGTTTGTTTTTGTTTTGAGTTGCTTCAAAACCTTGGCCAAACCTCCACCTTATTTTCAGTCGATCTTCTGCAATGTATACAAAACAATGGAGAGATAAGAAAAGGAGACGAGGCTCGTCTCAATTTTTAAAGAGGGGAGAGGAAATCGGTATGGCTTGTTTGGGGGTATCGTATTGTATAAAATGGTACAGATAGTAGTAGTATTTCATAGTGCACCCAGCAGATTTGGCGGTACTATGTAGGGATACTGTAGGTGGTACGATTTACTGTAGGCATGGAAATTTAGGTGTGGCAAATGTGTGGCATGCGCAAAGAAGAAAAGTGATGGATATATAAAAAAACCAGGTGAAACTTCTTCTCATTGGATGATTGATTCCGCTTTTATTCACTGTATTGAGCAGAGATGCGTGACTTGTGATCTGTTGTAGGTCAGCGCAATGGATGTAGATGTTATCTCCCCATCAAAGTGATAGGGCAAGAGGAGCATCATTTGCAGCTGAGAGAATAATGATAATAAAAATAACTGAAACATCAATCGATTAAAGAATGCTCTCTAGCGCATAGGATTGCTGGTGGAATGTTCGGCTGTACAGGTCAGGTACTGTGAAGCGACAAGTTAACAACAAGTTTGAACCACAAGAGGCATCTGATAAACAGAAGTTGCTTTAGTCAGAACCAGTGGGTCCGGACTCTTCCACAAAACAGTGGTTAGGGGATTTGGTCCTTAGGATGGAAAAAGTGATGGAGAATGTGGCGTTGAGGCGCCAGAGTGCTGCAGTAGGCCGTGTATTCCATTTTCACCAGCTTTAACCACTCCTCCCAATCTACCAAGGGTTTGTTGTTCAGTACTGTCTGGGGCTTGACCAAGAGCATGTGCTGGACAACCTTTGGAAGGTTGGTTGGGCCCATATCAAACATGCTCACAAAGCTGCACAGTATCCTCCAAGTGTTGCACCAAGTTCTGATGTTCCCAGTTCTGGAACCCCATCAAGATCAGCTGGTGCAAGAGACGAGAAACCCACAGAGTGGGAGAGCACTGCCTCCCACGCAACTGTAGGTATTCTTCCTGCAAGGGGCCCATTGACGAGACAGCCATCCGTCCAAGAGTCCTTGGTAGCCAGCAGTGGCTGCATTGTTGGGAGCGGAAGGCCCTACAGAGGTGGCCAGGGACACCCCGTAGGGCAGGAAGGGATGGATCATGGACACCTTGGATAAGGAGGAGGATGGCATGTTTTACGGCCGGGTTGTTCACTTGGGTATCCAACCATTGGTCCAGGGCATTTTCAGCTGAGAGACAAAAGATGATCAAGACGTATGTAAGTGGAAAACCTATTCCAAATGGTCGATGCTTTGTTGCAATGCTGGATTTTTCACCAACCATTCTGAAGTCCAAGTGTATAAGAAGAAGAGGTAAGGATTACACATACTGCTGGCTTTTAAGGAAAAGGTCTAGCGGCAAGTTGTAAGAATTGGTAGCCCCAAATTATCCTTTGGTAGATATGCTGCAAGATGTGAGGAAACTGCTGAAGAGGCCCTCAGTGGAAGGCCTGTTTACATTGCAGCATCAAAGAAAAGTAGCAAATAGATCGTTTGGCTTTTTGTTGGGGGCGGAACAAAGATGACCTAATTGGAAAAGAAACGGATGAGGGACTTTTTTCATTTCATGGAAAGTAAGATAGATCAAGAATGCGGGAAGGCAACTCCTGTTGGAAAAGGAAGCACGATTGGAACAAATTGGATTCTTCCACAAATTGCTGGTGAAGAAAGTAGAGGCATCAGCTTGTCAGGAGATTGAAGGTAAAGCACCCTTGCAGTAACCTAAGAGAACATAGGTAGTAATGAAGGTTGTCTCAAGGTTTGAATGGAGACATGCATTGTTATTTTTTACTTTTTGTTGCACCATATTTGTGTTTGGATCCTTGTTCTTTTGTGCAAAGAGGCGATGCATGCTCCACATTGTTCCTCTGTTGCACGATTGTCTCTGGCACGTCCTCCAAAACCGCAAGCTTGGCTCTTCTCCACCATCTTCCTGTTCATCCACAGCAACACAGACAATTTGCAGGATACAATGAGGAGCCTATTCGCCAATGGGCAGACTTGATTCAATATGTATGAAAGCAATATCTGATTGACAGCAAATCACAGCCTAGACATGGACTTCCATAGCAGCTAGTAAAGGGAGACGCTGCCTAGTCTGACACTCAACAACTGAAAACAACGCAAAACACTCAACACCCAAGAAGATTGTAGGCTTCGTATGCGCAGGCAGGGCATAGATAAGCGTTGTTTTGGATAGAATCGCTGCCTAGCAGTTGTGAATTGCCAAACGAATTGCTGCTACAAACACACTGTTATTATGGCAAAAACGTCATCGACGGTTTTGTTTTGTCACACAAGTCAATGGCACAGACAGACAGACAGTCCATAATAGTTATAACGCACAAAATTCTCAACTTCAACTCTTACAACTTACACCCTCTCCAGAAACCTTCCCGGGAGCGAATCTTCCAAGATCCGAAAGCACCATGCGCCTGTGGGGATGTACGTTTTTTGTGTACGTTTATTACGGCGCAACTCGCTCGCTGTAAAACTTTCTGGAATCGTTACACGTGTACCGTAAACTTAGACCCACCCCAGTGTTGGTGTCAGGATAGATCCGAAACCTGAAACTTACCACTACCGACAATAAAAATTATAAATGTACAGGGTATTGTCTGCAAATGGTGAGGAAGGCAGACACAACGTGCCGTAAAGGCTGAAAAACTAAGAACAAATATTTAGTCGACTGAGTCGAGCTTTGGAGTTGGTCGATGGAGTCGGAAATAAAACGACCAAATTTGGGTCGTATTAAGGATCCACACCATGTGTCTCAATTTTCACGTGCACACCCCAAAGTAGTAAGCAAAGCTGCCCGGGGAAAAGAAGACGGGCCACTTTGCAGATAACAGATTTGGATTGAGGTACAATGAGAATTCTTCCTCGCTTGCTCACTGTGCTTGCGTCATGTTCGGCTAGGAGCACGTTGATGGATGCATCAGGAAACCTCCGGTTGAAAATATCGGATGCTAAAACAACGTCTCAGGGTGTTGTGTCGATTGTTTTCAGCCCTGACACGAAGTCTTTCTTGACTGATTCAAATGAGATCCTTTGTCTAGAATCGACAGATCCTCCATGCCTAGTCTGTCGTGGAGCCACCCTCAGTGGAACATCGGTCGCTGAGGGCTGTGCTTTATCCACTATTTCGGTTGTGTCCGATGCAATTCTAGTGGATGGTATCACACATGGAGATGTGGAAGCAGGATGGAGTAATTCGAGACATGCCAGGACAATAACAGCCTTGTTCAGAGCGCGATTGAGCCTCGCTTCATCATCCAAGCAGTTGCTCATACTTTGTATTCATGGCGACATTGGTGAATCCGAGAGTCTTCGCCTGAAGGGAGAAGCCAAAAGCCTCTTCGATGCAACAGCTGCTGAAGTCAAATCTGATGCTGCATTCACCGAAATGTACGATGTTTCCGTTGTCTCTGTCGATTCAAAGTCGGATCCAAATGCTGTAAGTGACATGATGGCCCATTATACATGGGAGTGTCTAATTGCAATCCCCTCATTTAGTGTGCCAACTTGCTTCTCCTATCTCAGGTGTTGTCAAAAGCCTTTCAGCACGCAGGGACGATAGCCGGAACGGATACGTCCCTTGCAAGTGCTCTCGAAGAAGCACACAGTAAAGTTATTCGATCAGGAGTTGCAGTAGCAGCAAAAGATCCTCCACATATTGCTCAAGCTTTTGTTACTGTTGGCAATGCAGTCACAAAACAAACGAGAACGGTTCGAGCTAAGGTTGTCGTATGGGAAAACCGTATTTCCCGAGGACTTTGGGTAGAAGGATTTGGTTCGGAAGCGGAATTAGTTCGTCAGCGAGTCCTTGCTAGCTTTGATTCCGAGACTCTAGCTGCTGCTGGACTACCTCTTGTGGCGACCTACAGAATGGAAATGAGAGCCCAACTCGCCTCTTTGATCGACAGCTCCATCCGCAATGCTTTCACTCTGCAAGTGAACAATATCAATAAATCTGTGGAGAAAAAGTTTCGTGGGTGTCTTTTGAAAAAAATGAATGCTTCACCAGAGGAAGTAAAGGCTGAAACAGCTGTTGGCTTGCAATCGGCAATGTCCGATCTAGAAAAGACTTTGGCAGAACTAGAAGTGCCATCCTTAGGTCTTAGCAAAGCCAAGGTTTGCCGAGATGCAGAGTCTAGACTCACTGATCTGGGCATTGCAGTCGTTGACAGTCCTGCAGCACAGCTGAGGCGAACGAAAAATGTCATGAAGGTGACAAACAAGGAAAAGCAACTGGGGCAACGGTCCGTAAGTTTCGGTCTTGATCTGGTTGCAATGCTGAGACCTGACGGATTTGGAAACCTTCAGGGTTTCGCAGGGTACCAATATGGAGGAAATAGTTTCACATTTGGTGTTCACAACGACGCTGATGATCCACAGACAGTTGCTCAGTTTGGGGGGGTACGTCCGCCACTGCTACGCATTCAACCAAAGCTCCGAGTAGATGTAGAGCTATAGCATTCCTATTTTAAAAAGAAAATGAATCCAGTCGTTAGAGTTATTTGGTTGTGATCCAGCCTATTCGGCAACTGTGCGGTGCTGTGACCGCGTTTAATATGGATTTGGACCTATCAAAATACTTCCATGTTAAACACTCCCTTGGGTGAACGCAGTGCAAACGATGATCGTCAAACACCAAGACCTCGCCACCATGATAATTACACTCTACACTGGCTTTTTTTTCTGGTCAAATGTTAATATACTGTAATCTACCTGTTGTGAGATGTCATGGGAGGAAGGCGTTGTACAACTGGAAACCCACTCCTGATGAAGTAGCAATGCACAATTATTCAGGCAATGATCTATAGGTTTTGTCATCTTTGATTTGCCAGGCGGGTTGCTGGACAAGCCTTAACGAGCTATTGTTATTCTCCTAACTCTCATCGTAGAGAGAGCGTCCTAATGCATTAATGTGGCTACTGTTGGATATGCTAGATGGTGAACATGTGATGCGCAGAAAGAGAAAAGAGATTATCAAGTTGACAAGCAAAGAAGAAAGTTATAGCCCATCAATCTCTTCCATAAACTTGTCCAAGTCATCCTCTGTACCATTCTTGTCATTCTTCGCCTTCACCTTTGTTCGTTTCGGGGCTGCTTCCGATTCCGCTGCAGCAGGCTTCCGTTTCGGTTTGCGCAAATGGGAGGGAAGAAAAGCTACGACGGCCTTGTCTACCTTTATTGTTTTCTGCGGAGGTTCCATAGGAGGGCCCATTTGTGGCCCTTGTATGTCATCACTCTCGTCCGCCACAGGGTATGGTTCTACCGCGGGATATGCATCCGTTGCAGGATAGGCTAGGTCTCCTTCTGAAACTGGATAGGTGTCAGTAGCAGGGTACGCCATGTCGGTAGGATAGGAATCGTTCGCTGGATATGGAACATCGACGGCTGGGTAAGGTGCCACCGCAGGAGGCCCGTCACCAACTGGGTATGGTGCTGGACCTTGATCCTGGCCTTCTCCGTAGCCCTCATCGACAGTGTACGGTGCAACTCCTTGTTCGTCCAGTGGGTATGCCGGTACATCCTCTGGTTGAGGATACGATGGTCCACCTTCTTGCTCTCCATCGTAAACATCATCCGGCTGAGGATACGCCGGTCCAGATGCTTGCTCTCCATCGTAAACATCATCTGGTGGAGGATACGCTGGTCCAGCTTCTTGCTCGTCATCATACACATCGTTCAATGGAGGATACGCTGGTCCAGCTTGTTGTTCCCCATCATAGACATCATCTGGGGGAGGGTGAGCTGGTCCAGCAACTTGTTCTTCTTCGTAAACGTCATCAGGTGGCGGATAGGCCGGTCCCACGTCTTGTTCCTCTTCATAAACATCATCGGGTGGAGGATACGCTGGGGTAGAATTGTGCGGCATCGATGATTCATCATCATTGACAACTTGAGCTTCTTGTGGAGCCTTTGCGGCCAGTGATTTCCGGAGCGCTGCAATGCGATCGCGGAGTTCGTCGTTGTCAACATTGTCGCCTTCGCCACTATCTTCGTTTTGTCCCTTGAGCGCTGCGATACGATCCTGTATGCTGTTCTCTCCCTTTAGTGCTGCAATTCGATCACTAACAGACGGCTCATTTGCGGACGCCGATGGAGCTGGTGTTTGGACTTCTTCCAAAGCCTGCACTTCACCAATTGGGAGCCATATATCTTTCCGACTAGTCCTTACCTTTGTCGATGGGGGGAAGAAGCCAGCATTCATCCATTCGCGCATTTGTGCTTTTTGGAACGGACCTTGTACTTGGCCAGACATGTCCTGATAGTGGAATTCGAGTGGTGGTTTCTTCTTTTTCTTTTTCGCTGCTTTCTTTTTGACTTCACCAATGTTGTCGGCCTCGAGGTCCACTTGATTGGCCCGTAGTTCGTAGTCTACTTCCTCGTTTGATGCCCATATATCTGCATTCACCTTTCCTCTACGTCCACGTTCGACTGCTTTGGATGGTGGTGGGAGCGATGGTATCGTCAATGGCTTGTTCTTCTCTTCTGTCGATTCAACTTCTTTGGCTCGTTCTTCTCGTATCGTTGTAGATTGTGACTCAGTTTCTTTTCGGGGCGGAGAAGGAGATCTAGCACCTCTAGTATGGTCTCCTCTTCTATCGTGACCTCCTCGATTATCATTGGCCTGACGATGATTGTTTTGTTGTGGTGGAGGTGGAGGAGGTGGAGGAGGTGGCGGCGGTGGTTCCTCTCCAGGGACAATCGCTTCATCCATATTCATAGTAACACCTCCACCCCTTCGGTGGTAGAGCCTTGGCTTTCCGGGAGGCGGGGCACCATATGGGTTGAATTTTTCGTCAAAGTAGACAGATTTCTTCGGATTGTCAAGCTTTGGAGCCGAATGGGTTTGCTGTGGTTTCCAGTGGGGCTTGGGTTGTTTGCTTTGAGCTTCCTTTAGAATCTTCAGCTCTTTTTCCAATCGCTGCAGCTTTTGTGTTTCAGTCGGTTGGAGATTTTTTCTGATTTTTAACTTTTTAATATCCTCTTGAACACTGGAAACTGATTTGGTGGTCAGCACTCGTTCATCGCGAGCTTTCAGGCGTTGCTGTTTGTTCTTTTGCATGTCCTTCTTTCGCTTTTTCCGGTGATGCTCCTGCATCACATTGCCGACTCCCATGGTGCTATTATTTCTCTTTTTCTATACTCTCAATCAATCTTTATCAGTTTTCTAGTTAGTTTGCTTTGCCCCTTGCTCGTATAGTGTTGATGGACAGGGTTTGTTTCATCATACCGGTAGTCACGATGATCTTCTTGTTGTTTAGGGCTGAGTCACGATTTGCATTCACGAGTTGAGCCCTCTTTTCAAAAAATTGACACGACAATGACGGATCGAACAAGGTTCCTCCTATCTGCCACTGCCTTTTACTGCTTCTGCCAGATATTCTTGCTTCCACAATTTGTGCATTCAGTGGTTGTGGAAAGTCGCCTTGCTTCGGAAATCTTGGATCTGAACTTATTGCCCAATGTCCAGAGACCAATCTTGATATGCGATGCCATAGCTCAGTCACAAAGGAGACAATGGTGGAAGCATATCCAGACAAGATCCAAGAGTGAAATGGTTATGGTAGACGTACAAACAACTTCAGTCGAAGACAACGGAGGAGGAGAAGAAGAAGAAGAAGAAGGAGAACAACCACTACAAGACGCTCTGGAAAAAGTGCAATCGAGCATTGAACAAGAGAATGGAGAGGCAATCTACGTTGCATCGATTGGATCCAGTTGTTCCACTGATCAGTTACCAATCTACGAATATTGTCAATCTTTCTTCAGCGACCCAGATATTCTTTCAAACTTTTCTCCTTACACTCCCATGCACGAACAGTTGGTTATTTCCTGCAACCAAGCAATATCTACCTTGTCATCCAGGTACTATGCTACCACCATCCTTAGCATCGGAGGAGGTCCTATAGAATATGAAATGGAAGCCATAAGCCAGAAGACAATAGATTCATACAAAGGAACTCGTGCCATTACTCGAACATGGGACGGTGATACCTTCAATGTCGGCTGGAACTCTGGGCAAGACATATTGATGGACGACTGGTCTGATAATCAAAGAGACGTAGTATCTGCTTGTATTCAACCTGGGGATATACTAATCATTCCTAAAAATTGGTGGTTCCAAAGCAAGTCACAACAAAACATAGCTAATATATCGGTTCTTGGAAGACGTTGTGGTTCGAAAGAGTTTGAAGAACTTGTCCAACACATCCTGCCATCAAACCTGGCGAATGTTATGCTTCTGGCTCTTGAAGAAAACGAGGATGAAGAAAAATGTCAAATGCTGTTTGATAGCATAAAACTTCAGAACAGAGGATGAAGCACAATGGCAGTCGATATGGCATCCTGTCGATCGGATTGAAGGTCAACTGAAGAATGGAATTGTAGCTTTGAATGGCTATATTGTGGTTCGACAGCGACATACCACTAAAATATGAGATTGATAATGAGATAAGACTGCACACAAAAAGTGTACTGTGTACATGCACTGTGTCTCATCTGTGTGCACACATACTGGCGTGTGTGCTTTTGGTTCGTAACGAACGAACGCATGGAAGAAAAAATAACGTGACTGACCCCTTTGACCAGAACACAACCCAGAAATTGAAGCAGAGCACGGTAAGCAAGCACTACCAGTACCACCTTGAAAAACAACAACAGAAGAACCAATATATTATTTCCAGAAAAATGGCCTCCACTGACGAAGACAGAGAATTTAATGGAAAGTCGAAGGATGCGTGGAATGTCCAACATATTGATCTCGTCTTTGATTCCAACTCAGATCGAACCATGTTCCCCAATCCACTTTCGCAACGTCCAAACACACCACTTTGTTGGTTTGTCGACGGAGATGACGCAGTGGCGGCCGATGTGCAAGTGGATACTGAAGGCGTGTCAAGTGAGGGAATCAAAATCAAAGCTGAAGCCTTTCCCTTGGCGGGACCCCGATTGAATATTGCCTTTGATCCCCAGAAATCCATTGCTGCTGTAGTAACCTGTGGAGGCTTGTGTCCAGGTGAGTTTCATTATGGAGATCTCGTATCATAGTATCATCAATGCTGACAATTTACGTCTGCTTTTGCTTCCGTGACTGGCATTGTGAATTCGAGGCCTCAATACTGTCGTTCGTGAAATTGTCATGTGCCTGCGACGACAATACGGAGTTCCCACCATCTATGGAATCCCTTTTGGATACCGAGGATTCCAGGACCGCCCTTCTTGGATCAAGTTGGACGAAAAAAAGGTGCGCAACTTTCACAATATGGGTGGATCGTTTCTGGGAAGCTCTAGAGGCGGTCACGATACCAATGCGATTGTTGATGCGTTGGTCGAAGCTGGCATCAATTTGCTGTTCGTGACAGGAGGTGATGGAACTTTGCGGGGTGCAGGTGAGTTGGATTGATACTATTACCGGTTTCAATCCTTGTCGAGTTTGTCCTCAATGCCACACAATCTAATATTTCATTGTTTCCATTATGATTTCGGGATGTGCAGCCAAAATTGCAGAAGAAATTCAATCGCGTGGAATAGAAATTGCAGTTGCGGTCATCCCCAAGACTATAGACAACGACATTCCACTTATTGATCGAACGTTTGGTTTTGAAAGTGCCGTCGATGCGGCGCGGCGTGCCATTGATGTCGCCGTGACTGAGGCCCAAGGATTTCCGCTCGGCTTGGGAGTGGTCAAGGTCATGGGGCGACATTCCGGATTCATTGCTATGCATGCGACTTTGGGATCTCGTGTTGTGGATCTGTGCTTAGTCCCTGAAGTCGATTTCTACTTAGACGGAGAAGGAGGCATAGTCGATCATTTGGCCAACCGATTGCTGGAGAATGGAAACGCCATCGTGGTGATCGCTGAAGGAGCTGGACAAGATCTCATGGCCACTTTGGGTAGCAACGGTGTTACCAAACGAGACGCTTCAGGAAATATTATATTGGATGACGTTGGCCCCTGGTTAATCCAGCAACTAGAGCCACGATTGAATGAAAAGGTAAAAGGGAAGACACCCTTTAACGACCAGATTAAATTCAAATACGTCGATCCATCCTACATGGTCCGAGGCATTCCTCCGTCTACTAACGACAATAATTTTTGCACTCAACTGGCCCATAATGCGGTCCATGGTGCTATGGCGGGTATGACCTCCTTCTTGGTCGCATCGGTCAATACTCGTGGGTGCTACCTTCCCATTGATTTGATTGCCAACAAGCAGAATGTAATTGATACGTCCAACCAATCGCTTTGGTCATACGTTATCTTTGATACGCACCAACCCACTTTTACCCAGCAAGATGATTGTCAGCGTAGATCTGATTCCAGAATGACTGCCTCTGGGGGTGTCATTATTGGGTAGGGTCGTTAACAAAGAGCAACACACTGAAACGACAACATGAAAATTGGACGAGAAGAAAAGTGGTGGGGTCCTTGAGGATGGCTTAGTTTCAAATAATGATGTAGTTAAAAACATTGCGCAACCTTCTGATTATCTCGAGAATGGAAAAAAGATCTTTCTCTGCCAGCACGAACAGCAATGATTCTTGAAATCGAGTTCACAATATACTGTACAGGAGACCTCGATGTAAAGCCAGCGATCCAACAGATATTCTTGAAATCGAGTTCATGATAGCCACCGATCCAACAGTCTACCAATAGATAGTACAAAAGCTTGTGAATTTTCATTGATTTTACTTCTATCTCTTTTTTTAAAAATATTGCATATTGAAGTGCTTTCCAAGATTGAAGCACTCATTTTCTGTATGCATCATCTTCAAAGTGATCTTGGAGGCAGAAGGTCCCGGTTGGCGTCGAGGAACTCGCACCATGCATCCACATTATTCTTTCCCACATAATGCAGAGGAGTAAATTGTCTATTATCCTTGAGGTATAGCAAATCTGGTGACTTCTGAAGGATCATCTTAACCATTGAGAAGTTTGGAATGCTGGTCCAGGCCAATTCATGAAGAGGAGTTCTTCCAAGATCATCCTGAATGCAAGCAGACACATCTGTCTCTTCCAGCATGAACTGTAAAATGTCCTCATGCCCTCGGCGACAGACAAGATGGAGTATACTCTCTTTGAACTTGTTGCAACATTGAAGGGTCTTTCCAGAATCAACGTGCTTTTTTACTCCCTCAATATCACCCTTTCGGGCCGCGTCGGCGATTTCTCTCCCATATGCCTCAAAGTTTTCTTGTTTCATTTCCAGCAACAAGTCATTTGTAGCTTCTTCGGAGATGGATGGATACGGAATTTCATCTTCCTTCAAGATTTCTTTCAAGAACGAGAACGGCTTGGGATCTTTCGAATTCGTTTCACTTTGGCTGTTGTTGTCAAAGGTTGCGTTTTTGGAAGAGAATTCAAGGTCTGTGTAGGACCCCTGTTGAACGAATTGGTCCGAATTAGATCTTCTCATTTGAAAAGATTTGATGCTGTCTTCATCACTTTTGCTGAAGATAATCTCTGATAAAATAGAGTTTTGGAGTGAGGTGACTGACGAATCCGATGATTTGGGAAAGCGCTTTTTTGGCAGCGCAAGCTTGTAATCGTCAGTATTGAATATCAAGGCTGCCAAAGCAGGTGTGGTACCAATATGCGAGAACTCTTCAAGTCTCTCCCCCATTTCTTCAATCAAGCTTTCATCATCACTGCCTTCCCACGACGAAAATGACCCATCGCTGTCTTCGTCGTCGTAGCTTTCCCCTAGGCTCTCGTCGTCGTCCTTTTCCATCGCTTCTTGAGCGAGAGCTGTTTCCATTGTTGCCTTCTGCAAGTTTTCAAAGCCAATTGTCATTGCCGTTGCTGTTTATAGTAGTCACACAATTCTTGGTACAATCCAAATTGTGTCTACCTCCTATTCCTCAATTCTGTTTCGCAATACAATTGAGAAACCTTTGAAGTATCCGTTTGAACCGTGGTGGAAGTTTCTCGCCGGTGTCGTGGCACAGTATCACATAAGGGAAATTAAGGGAAATTAAGGGAAAATAAGTGAAAATTGTTCTCTCGATCACGTCAGTTGTTACATTTATTACAATGTGTGTTGGTCATCAACTCGTGTTACCAACCGGCCTGATCCACGCGCGTGGTGGATGAACACGCATCATTCCGGTAGGGAACCCAAAGTGACGTCGACACCATCAGAAGCCAGCCGGGTAGAGAAAAAGTAACATTTTTGGACTGATTGACACCATTTTATTGCCAATGGAAACGAACAGGAACAGAAATTTGTCACCGGAAAGTATAATACTGTACTGTACAGTAGGTAGGTATTATCAGTTTCACAGATAACATCCCGAGCAGCGTTTTTCGTTGCACTGAAACAGTGGGATTTTCCCCAAAGTCCCTCCCCGGTAGATAGTTTCCTTGACAGTGGAGGACACGTCGGGAATTTCAGGGTTTGGTACCAGGTACCACGAGCGCGAGTGAGTAATACGATGGTTGTGGACTTCTCCGCCTGAATAAAAGAGCGAAGGATATTCCACCTCTGCTCCATTCCAACATAGCTAGCTACCTGGAAAGAACATGAACGCCATCAAGTCACCGGAAACTAGCAGTCTCTTTGGCAAGAGCCTCCAGCTTATCTCTGCTGCTTCTCTTGCAGCTGTGACCTCTGGTGCTGAGCGACGGAAAAGTGATTAGATGACGATGCTTGGACCAGATGTGTCGTCGAACCGATATGCAGCAAAGATCCGTTCTTACCATTGTCCCAGAAGATTGTCTACTGCAATCCCATGAATGTTATTTTGCAAATATTGTGATGTCAACAGGGTTCGTTCTTCGCCAATTCCAAAATCTCTCGTCACATGCTGCCACAAATCATTCGTTTGTTCGTCGTAAATTCTATCTTTTGCGGAAGAACGAACCCTACTCATTCCAGCACTTGTGATCGTTCTTGATCGCAAGGCAGCTGGATACTTTGGGAGCCGAGTCCAACAATTCAGGTTCACAGGTTCGCCCTCTTTTGTAGAGTTACTGCTCAGACACTCAGGCCATAGTGTATTCATTTGTTGATGCCCCATTTTGGGCCATGGTGGAAACTCATTGCTTCCGGGCTCTCGATGTCGGACAAGCGTATAGCCAGGTGTAACACATATGTCTTCTTTCACCAGTCGGATCCTTCCCGAGCTCTCGACAGTACTGTTCAAATTTGCAATCTCGTCGTTTCGCCATTCCAAATGTACATCAGCGCATATGACTTGCCATCCACCAGTTGCTTGTGGTAGCTTCATCGCAGCATACTGAATCTGTCCCAGTGTTTTCCTATGTAGGCCATCATCTGCATCTAGCCGTGTTTCCATCAATAGAGGTCGGTTCACATCCATCATTCTGGAATACAGCAACTGTGTTTCACCAGAAACGATTTGAACAACTTCTTGTTTATTCATCAGATTATGCGGTGTCAACAATTTTTCGTTCGAGAGAACAAGAAAAAAGTTCGGATGAGGAGCTAGAAGGAACTGAAGCCGTTCCAGCAATTCCCCTTCGAGGTTCGGGTCAATCATGACAAACCAAAGAAAATTGTCAATTACTTGCGTTTGCATTGATGGCAAGCAAAAAGTTTCAAAGAGCTTCAAGCGAGCTTTCCCCAGCTTGGTCAAACCAGCCTGAGATTGCATAAACCTAGTGGTCACGATGTGGAGCATGGCCTTCTCTTCTTCTGACTCATCCTTTTCCGAGAAAAGGCCAACATCAGTCTGTTCTTGGCTTTCCCGCAGAAGCCTCACTCCGCCACTCAATTCATGGCTTGGGAGTCTTGAGGCAATCAGAAAATTTGATAAGACTATTGTTGTGCCGATGAACAGCAGTATTTGGTGTGCGTTGAAGAAGGCAGCCATGGTCGATTATTTACCATTTTCCAAGACTGCTATTTTGTATTTGCTTGTTTTGAAAAATGGCGGGGGAAAATGACGGTTAAATCATAGATTTGAAAATGGTCGAAATTCCGAGAATGCCAAACATGTACACGTGTCGCAACAGTACAGTACTTGTACTCTTTCAATCTGGTATCTCCTCTACAAGATCCTAGACTTCCCACCAGTAACTGTTGACAATACGGCATATTCAAATAGACAAAAGTTAGATGTTGGAACGACATTCGGATCAAGCGTACTCCATTACAACTATAGACCTAAGGGCACACTGAATAGGAAAAGCACTCAGGTGCCAATATTATGGGGGGGGGGTCGATGCGTAGTCCATCCAGGTAATCGACCACCATTCCTGCAATTTCGTCTGTAAGGCACAGATAAAGCCAAACAGAGCCAGATTTTGCCAAGAGAGGGGTGCGACATCAAGAACCATTATAATAATTGTTTTTTCTCTATCATACATTATAAATTACGAATGGTGTCTCGAGGGTGCATTTTAAATAATTTTAAAACACGATTTCTTTCACCACATTCGTAGACAAACACAAACCATTTAACTTCCAGCAATGATTTCGGCATTTCCAATTGAAGGCACATCATATCTGACAAAGTAGTTGAATTCGCCAGTACTTTCAATCTTGATTTCGTTGTCACGATAGAGCTTGAAGCCTCCTGCTTGTCCAGCATCGCAGCACATTCCATCACCGAAAGAATCAAACATGGTGAATGTGTAGGTCCCGAAACTGGTGGCGCAAACCGATTCCTCGACGAGCCGAAACGCCCCTGGGTATGGCCCCCCACTACCAACAATGCTATCAGAGTCGTCCCTTAACTCCCACGTAGTTTCGACACCAAATCTATCAGTCTCAAGGGTCAAATGGAAGAAGACCTCGAGACAAACCATTTGGGGACTAATTTCGACCTCGGTTTCTGTTCCCGTCTCACCATTATTGTGGTAGAGCAACTGGTTATTGTACCAGACCTTGTAATATCCGAAACCTACACAAAAAGCAACATGAATCAGACTGACAACAATAGAACCGACAACATGATCCTTTGTTAACTCACCTTTTCCGCAGCAGAAACCATCTCCAAACTCGTCAAAGAACTTCAAATAGTGAACACCATCATCAGCCAAACAGTGTTCTTCTTCAATCAATGCGTTGTTTTCATAGTTGCCTCCTTGAGAGATTATTCGAGGTGGATCAGTCTGCCAAAGTTCCCAGCGCGTTTCCGCTGCAAAGTCATCAAGTTGAATCTGAATCTGAATCTTGGGTGCGAAGCAACGAAGAGTGCCTTCGACAGTTGGATTTTGAGTCGGCGGATTGGTGGAAGGTGGTCCCTCGGTAGGTCTTGGAGTAGTTGGTGCAGGTGTCTTTGGTGCGGCAGTTGGTGGTGAGGTAGTTGGAGATGATGTTTGTGGGGCTGGAGCATCAATAAATTCTTTGATATCATTGTAGATACCAGGGCCTTCAAAAGGTACGGCAAGATTTCCTAGATCGCAATTCAGATGCCCACAGTGGTGCAGCCCAATGACTTTCATAGTATCCACAGCAATCACAGGAGAACCCGAGCTTCCTCCTAGGGTGTCACAGGTATATTGGATTGATTGATACGCGAAGGAATATCCACAGTTGTCACTGCCAACATCCAGGACTGCGCAACGACCATTGCTAGCGCCGGATGTAGGCCAGGTATCTTCTAGAGCAAATTGCTTGGCGCGGCCAACTGGATGCCCTGGGATGAAGATTGTTTCTCCCACAGTAGCAACACGGTCATCGATTTCCATGAAGCTGTATCGCCAATTCAAAAGTAAACATGAATATATCAGTGCATGAATGTGTCGTGACCATGAAAGAATCGAGCGATATAGTTTGTACTCACCCATATTTGGCGGCTGGGTCACCAACTAAACGAATCAAAGCATAATCCTTCTGGAAAGATTCTGCGACAAGTTCAGCACCCTCGTAGACATCATAACCAGCCGTTTTTGTCTTGGAATCACCGCAGTTAGCACCTTCTGCCATAAATTGAAAGTCAGTATTGTCAACATCAGCTTGGCTCTCAATGCAGTGCCTGTTGGTCAACACAAGGTTGTTGGGTCCAACGAGCCATCCAGTGCAAGTTCCCTTTCCGGCGATCTTCAAGCGACAAATAGCCTTGGCCTTGTTGTACTCATCTGGGTGGGAATCCTTGAAACACACGGCATTATTTGAATCATCACCACCACATAAGGCAAGACCTCGATGACGGTCCAAATCGAATGGGAAGAGTTCCTCGGCACGAAGCCTTCTTTGCGGATCAGTGCGTTGATCAGGTTCAGTCAAAGTCTCCAAATTTTCATTGTCTGAAAAGCCTTTGACCATTTCATCAATTACAAAGTTTCTCTTGTTGTCTCCAGCAGCTCGCACGCAGTACACGAGCATGTTCAAAGTGTCACCTTCGACGTGATGAGCCCAGAAATTTCCACGGTTGAGTCTTCCTTGATCAGTGTAAGATGCCACTAGGTAGTCATTTTCATCAGTCAATTCCATAGTACACTCTCGATTGAAATCAAAGCTGGCAAAATGAATGGCAATAAAAGAGGCTCCTGGTTCGGAAATTGTGTACGAGAACTTGGATCTGACATTACCACCATCTTCATCGGTCATGTCATTATTGGTGATTCGAATAAAAACGCTATCTCCAATAATGGCAGGTGTAATGTTGGAAGTCTCCTGATCTGAATCCGAGCCACCCCAGTCGACTCCAAGACCAACGCCAAGTCCAATGGCAATCACAACCACGGCAACCGCAGCGACGATCACGAGCTTATTCACCATGATATCTGTTCCGTGAAAATGATTCAGCCGTCACAATTTGTAGTCGTGTACGGTACGGAAGAAACGACAAGAAGCAGTATCCAGCAACAGAGAAAGCTGTGATCTTCAGCGAATAAAGTGGCAATGCATGACTTGCCATCACATGGGCTCAGAAAATCGTGAACTTCACGCAGATATCTGGTACATTTATGCATAGGTTGGCGTACAGACATGTCACAGTACATGTCTGGTGACACTGAAATTCGCAATATATATAAGATCCATCCATGTGAAATTTGAAACAGATTTGACGACGCTGAAAAAGTCAACCTGCATCACACTCCTCCAATCGATTTTCCTACATTCTTCATTCATTAATTCAAAGACTAAATCCATGGCATCATCAAACACTCGAACGCTGAAAGTGACGGGACTCGGTCATTCCATCAGTTTTGATATGGAAGACACTTCCACCGTCGCCGATTTGCAAACAGAAATTTCCAAGAAAACCAAAATTCCAGCTATTTATCAACGGTTATTGGCAAGAGGCAAGAAATTTGACATTTCCAATCTGACTCTGGCAGAAGCAGGGATTGAGCATCGGACGAAAATAATTCTTATGCACAGCGCTATGTACGCCCAAGAAAAGGAAGGATTTGAGGTGTTGTCGAAATTGTCCGAAGAAATTGACGATCTCCATGCGAAGAAGGATTCGACTCCAACCAACGAAATGAGCGAGTTTATTACAAGAATATGTTGCAAGCTGGATGAGGTGGATGTGAAGGGGTCCGAAAATCTAAGAGCCCAACGAAAAGAGCTTATACGTAAAGCTGAGAGTATGGATACAAATAGCAATGATAAAAGTTGACACAGCACGAACTGTCAACAAATCAATAGTAGTTTTTGATGATTGAGAAAGGCTATTATATTTCACATCACCTTTACAGGGATACTGCGCTATGATCGAGCATTGGATTTCTCCAGTGCCTTGACGTGTTCCCGGACACAATGCATGAATCCTTCCTTATGACATCGATCCAACCTTCTGGCCAAGCCAATATCGACATCGTCCTTCATGGTCTCGGGAAGATCATCCCCCAACTCCAACAAGTCCAACGGCTTAGCGGCAGAGTCTGACTTTGAAGCCGTATAAACGCTCCGTTCGGCTGTTTGAGTGTCGATGGAAGGCTTGGGTGGTTGTTCGACTTCTGCTGGCAAGGTTGAAGGTGCAGTTGTGGAGCCATTGGTAGGAATTTCTCGAGTCTCTTGCTTCTGTTGGTCCTGAAGAGCTACCTGTTTGAGTGCTTCTTCAGGGTCAAACAGATTTACTGGGGGTTGACAACATGGGACTCCATAGCCTCCCTCCAATACACTCAAGATTCGCCCACTGCAAGTCTTGTGTGCCAGTTTGCAAATAACTTCAGTGAGTGTACCAAAGTCTTCCGCTGATAGTCCACCCAAGCCTAGCGGGTCATTCTTGTGTGCATCAAAACCAGTTGACATGATGATAAGGTCCGGTGAAAATCGCTCAACTGCTGGAGTGACCTTGGTCACCAACGCAGTGCCAATCGCATGGGATGTGACTCGTGGGCCAAGCGGAATGTTCAGCACTCCAGGGTGAGGAGAAGAATCTCCGCATCTACCAGGAAAGATGCCTTTTAGTGCTGACCTTCCGAGATGGTGATTTGGCAATGGATCGTCGTCTGAAGGATCTACTCCGTTCAAGTGTGGACCACCAGCATGAAGGGACACATAAAGGAAACGCGGGTCGTAAGTAGATCCCAAAATATCTTGTGTTCCATTTCCATGATGGACATCAACATCGATAACACAGATTCGGCGCAATCCATGACCACCCTCAGAGACTGGTGTTGCAGCATGAATTGCTGCACATGCAACTGGATTCAAGACACAGAAACCATTTGACACTGCCTTCATAGCGTGGAGCTCCTTTCCTGCATGGTGCCCAGGTGGACGTGTAATCGAAAACACATTAACACACTCTCCATGAAGAATCATGTCGAGCGCTTGCAAAGCAGAACCAACCCCTGCGATGGCTGCCTTCCAAGATCCTCGGGATCCCTCTGTGAAAAGGCGATACAATAAATTTAGTACAATATGATTGCGCATGGCCAAAATTATCGAGTCAACTCTTACTTGTGTCTGCGCCACCATTGCCTTCGCTATCTTCGGTCAGGGATGCAATCGTCGTATCATCGGCAATCGCCATGCAGCGCTTCTTGATTCGCTGAAGATATGTTTTAGTGTGAGCTCGTCGAATAACTTTGTTTTCAGCCATCTCCATATAAGACGGCTTCACCGAAGTCATCAGCTGCAGGCTTTCATTTTTCCCTGCACCGACTTCCTTAGCTGCTTTGAGCGCTGCTGGGAGTCGCACTGCTCGCTCGAAGCACCCATTCGAAGTCAGGTGTTGGTTACACAAAGAGTCTGTCATAACGTACGATACTTTGTTCCCAACACCCATAGTTGAGAAAACAACCGTGATATACTTGTAGATCCTCTCGCATAACTTTCTCCATTCCATCAAGTACTGTTGCTCTTGCTCGAGAGATCCAATTACATCTTCCCCGTGTGTCTAGATTATATTGGTGAAATTATCTGAAGCCACTGCATCACACTACATATTTGCACCCTGATCTTACCTTAACAACCACCCAAAGCTTGACGAGAGCTTTGCGTTGGACTTCTTTCGTGTCTGCCGACAAAGCCTTGAAATCGTCCGAGTCCTTTGGTAGTTTTACAAGCAACTGATCTAGACTCTTCTTCAAAAGAAAGGATCGCGATGAATCAGAGTCTGCTCCAGCCAACAATGAAACCAGAAATGGCAGGCCGAGGGTAAACCGCTCCAACGTAATTGATCCATCATTACTGTCGAAGTTGAGAAGTAGTGGTGGAGTTTTGAAAACCTTTTGAATTGGTTTTCTATCAGGTGTCTCCATTCCCTGGGACGCCTTGCCGTTTGTATAGCCCCAACATTTGGGCGGTTTCATGAGCTCAAGCATGGATCCAAGCTGCAATACTGGTTCTTCTCCAGACTCCAGATCGTCAAGCCCATGCTTTTTCTCTTCCTCGTCTGGATGAGGTAATTGACTCAAAATATGGCCAAAGGGTAGGTGAAGAACTGCGTCTGGATACTGAGCCGCCTGGGCCGCTATTGGATGCGCTTCAAACAATCCAGCAGTGGTTAGGTGTAAATCGTCCGAGTTAATAGTAGACTTCATGACGGTCTTCGAATACTCCTTTAGCCCAAGTGCAAGCCGATGCGCATCGACAAATCTTGGAAATGCTGCCTTAGGCAACCCAATGAACTTGAAAGACGATCGCAGTTGGTCGATATCCAAACCACTGCTGCCAGTGTATGGATACTCTTGAATGCAATCTGGCGATGCATCAATAGTTTCTAATTCGAACAGAGCACCAGAATTGAAGATAGTGTCTCCATGCCGCGATAACGACTCGGAGTAGGACTCTTTGCTGGGCAACGTTGAAGTTGCATTCCAGTATGGAGCGAGAAAGACAACGTCAACTTTTTGCTTCTGAGACCCTCGTTTTGACTGTGACTTCATCTCGGAAAAGTGCATCACACGAGCTGGCCAAAACACACCTGGACGTGAACCACGACTGTACGAAACAGCGAGCACAATTCCATGCTCGATTCCATTTACCGTAAAGTCGGGGGATGTAGTCCTGCCTGATCTTCGACTTCCCGATAAGTTTGCGGCCTGAGCTTGTGGTTTTTCCTTTTGTTCTCTCTGTTTGATCCTTTTTTCAAACCTTTTCTTAGCGTCAGCCAACTCCTCAGCCTCGAGGTCAAAGGTATCGAACTCTTCTATCCACATGGCCTTCCATAGGTCTCCGAGGTGGTCGTCATGATCATATGCAATTACCACACCCGTGTATCCCTGCCAAGACACCATCTCACCTATTCTGTGTGGACCACCTGAGGCACCAATGGGTTCCAAAGACTTTGCTGTGGTCCATCCATCCTGTCGAAGCACTTCCGGATCGTACGAGACTCTTCTCACAGCGTTTTGGATGCTTTCGACAGAATCTGCTTCAGCAGCCGCCAGTACTTTTCTTGCATGTTCTGGAGTCTCGTCCAAGTTGTACACTACGCGGAGTAGATTATTCAATAGCCTTTTGCTCTGCTTGTTCCTTTCAGCCCATCTGAACAGTGACTTTTTCCCCCTATCACGAGATTTGCCATCAGGGTTAGGTATGTCTTCGTCCGCAAAGGCCAAGTTCCCAATCCAGTCGTCACGCCACCCACCCTTTCGAATTTGCAAGCTATTTTCCAGCTCTCTCGTTTCTGCCTTCGTCAAGGCATTCAAAGGTGCCACATTGTCCGGCAAAGGATCTAGTTTGACATATTTACTCACAATCTCCTCGCCAAAGTCACTTGAGTACGCACCGGAAGACTCTTCTTCGGAAGCCGGTTTGTATTCATTGTCACCCAACGCATTGGATGGAAGATCAAGGGACGGCTCATCGCTGACTGTTGTCGTAACTTGCTTCTTATCTTTCGTCGAATTTGATGAGCTACGGACAGGTTGCTCATCGATTGCCATGTTTTCGGCGGTGTCATGAGTCTCACTTTTTGCAGCGTCAGGGCGGGACTGTAGCTCAGCAGAAGGTTCGACTTTAGTGCTTGTTGACCCTCCCACTTGCTTTCCGTCTGTATTGCCAGCTTTCGAAGTCGTCACTGAGATCGCCGAGTCCGTTCGTCTCATTTTTTCCTTTGGCTCATCGATACTGCCGTCCAATGCTTTGCGCTTTGCGACCTCAACGGAAATGCTCTCCCCATTATAGGACGACTTCATTCCGGTCTTTTGCGATACTGTGGAGTCCACGTGTTCATCCATGTTTTCTGGAACAGGAGTAGCCTCAGACATTTTCTGCTTGTTCATGAACCCTCCTGGTACTATTTCTTCTGGCTAGTTTGCGTTCATAAATAGTTGTCGTGCAACTATCCAATGCTACCAGTATGTTAAAGTACAGATGACGTTTTTATTTCGTACAAGAAGTAGTATAGTACGAGAGGCAATCTTCTCAACTATCAGTAATCTTGGAAGCGAGGATAAGCTTGTCTCTGATAAGACTACCTTGTTGTAGAAGCAACTCGGCAATCGCAATTTAGTGAATAAATGATGAGACGATCCTCCGACCATGTGACATGAAAAAAGCAGGCACGACGTCTGTGCGGCGTGGTTCTTGTAGATAGTGCGGCAAATTCGATTTCGTGGTCCTGTTTCTTCCCTGCTCTTCAGCGGGAGCTTGGGGAAATGCACAGACACGAGAGTAGCTAGGCACTAGAGTTTAGAATGATTGACAGTGGACTGCTGGTGCGATTTGTAGGTTAGTGCACTATATACATTTAGCCGACAATGAAGCTGAAAAAGAGGAGCAATGGATTGGTGGAAACGTCAAAAAGAGACTATTGAAGTCATAGGGGTGAGAGCGTAGCCACAGGTACGATGATTAGAAACTAGGTCACTACAACCGGTAGTTTTTGTTTGACGAACGTACAACTGTTGCAATGAAATTGGAGATTGGCGGTCTATCACTGTCGATAGCAAAACTTGCTAAGCTACACGACATCGCTACGCAATTGAGAGCTAGTTTCGCCGAATACCCTTCTACTGCATAAGACAAACAGACGCTGTTGGCTGCTTCCTAAGGAAGACCATGATTACCTCCTAACTTCGATATAGTGGTGTGTCTAAACTTAGACAACTAGTGGTAAGCCCTCTTTCAACTAACTTGAGAAGGAGCAATTCCAAACCTTGCAATTCGAACCCTGGGAAGCAAAACGAGAGAGCGAAGAAACAAACACGGCCTGTATGCCCAATATCCTGTAATGATTGATTCAACACCGTCAACGGTACTCATGCCATGAAAAAGTGCAAAGAAAATCGACTGGTTGGATTAAAAGTCATCTTCAAGTTACCATACGTCAGTCCTTCACTTCTGTTTTATCTGAATCATCATCCATCTGACGACTTTGAACTTGATGGAAAAAGTCTGGAATTGTCGTGAGAATACAGTAATACACAGTAGCTGATCTACAACACCCAACAGCTTTGCTGCTGTAAGTATTTTGATCAACTTAACCATCGGGCATGTCAATCTCGAAACGGGCTACCTGCCGATTGTTGGTCTTCACAGTCTTCACTTCGGTTGTCGATTCGTTTGCCTATGCACCAAATTTCATCACAAAGATAATCCAGGATGATTTGGGAGTAGATTCTGAATCTGAGGAAGCCACCAGTGCATTGCTACCAAAAGATGCCCATGCGGCAATAAAAACAAGATTTCCTCCTGAACCAAATGGCTACCTTCACTTGGGACACGCCAAGGCTGTCTCATTCAATTTCGCGGTTGCCCGAATGTTCCATGGAAGTTGCAACATGAGAATGGACGATACAAACCCAACAAAGGAAGACGAAGAATATGTTGAGTCAATTCTTGAGGATGTGAAATGGATTCAAAGCGGTCTATTTGAGGATGAAACTCCGTGGGAGGGTGATGTGAGGAAGACGTCGAGTTATTTCGATACAATCTATGAATGTGCAGAGGCTCTCATCAAGTCTGGGGATGCCTATGTTGATTCTCTTTCTGCCGATGAAATGAGGGAATACAGAGGGACACTGACATCCCCAGGGAAGAATAGTCCCTTTCGTGAACGGAGTGTAGAGGAGAATTTGGAACTTTTCCGAAAGGTGAGTTGTTTCCATTACTCGACTTTCGTTCGTGATCACCAGAGACTAATTGTTTGCAGATGAAAGAAGGAGAATTCAAAGAAGGAGAACACGTCCTCAGGGCCAAGATTGATATGGCTTCTCCAAACATCAACATGAGAGACCCAACCCTTTATCGCATCAAGCATGAATCTCACCAGGAGACCGGCGACAAGTGGTGTATATATCCAATGTATGATTACAGTCATCCTATTTCTGATGCATTGGAAGGCATAACCCATTCTCTTTGTACTTTGGAATTCGAAGATCATCGACCATTTTACGAATGGACAGTCGAGAAGCTGCTTCCAACATCATTGATATCAGCAACTCCACGCCAGATTGAGTTCAGTCGTCTGAACATCCAGAACACAGTTCTGAGTAAGAGGAAGCTAATCGGACTCGTCGAAGAGAAGCACGTGAATGGCTGGGATGACCCTCGAATGCCAACACTTTCTGGAATGCGACGACGTGGAGTTCCACCTTCTGCCTTGCGATTGTTCTGCGAAAGGGTTGGAATTTCAAAGACCGATTCAAACATTGCATTCTCGGCCCTGGAAGATTGTGCTCGCTTGGAGATGGACGAAGCTTGTGAACGCGCGTTCGCAGTTCTAAAGCCACTCAAGGTGACAATCGACAATTGGGATGGTACGTAGTTCAAGCTAATCCATTTTGTTCTTTTGTTATCTGTGAAATATTTACGACTTCTTTTGCGATACATAGGTGGAATTGAAGAATTCTCTGCGCCAAGACATCCAAAGAAAGAAAAAATGGGGGACCGTGTAATTCCATTCAGCAAAGAAGTGTACATTGAACGAACTGATTTTTTTGACCTGGACGGACCAGAAGGAAAGGAGAATGATGGAAAGGTACCGAAGGGATACAAGCGACTGCTACCAGGTGACAAAGTCCGACTTAGATATGCATATGTCATTGAGTGTAAAGAAATTATTCGGGATCCCAAAACCTCGGAGCCAATCGAATTGAAGTGTTTTTACTACCCTGACACACGAGCTGGAGTTACACCTGAAGGAATGAAAAGAGTTAAAGGAATCATTCATTGGGTGGAAGCCTCAACAGGAGTTCAATGCAAGGTGAACCAATATGATCGACTGTTTTTGGCTGAAGAACCAGGAAAGAGAACTGGAAACCATCTAGATGACTTGAATCCAAACTCGCTTGAGGTATTGAACGGTGTTTTCGTCGAACCTAGCGTTGCAAAGGATGCTTTAGAGATGATTGAGAAGGTCAATGCAGATTCCAACGATGGTAGTCTGTACACTTCGTCTCTTGCTTACCAATTCGAGAGAAGCGGATACTTTGCACTTGACAAATCATCAACTGGTGAAGACGGTCTTGTATTCAACAGAGTTGTGACACTGCGTGATACATGGGGCGTGGATCCCGAGCAAGCTGGAAAGGCCAATCGCAACCGTGGCAAGGCATCTGGGAACAGCAACCAGCGCAAAGCTTCAGGAGGAAGCGGAGGCGGCGTCGTTGAGGACGAAAGAAGGGTTGCGTTCCGAGCAGCTACAATTCTGGAAGCAGGACCGCACCCTGAGGCAGACAGTCTCCTGGTTTGCGAGGTTGACTGTGGAGATGTGGCTGAGGATGGAAGCCCTGAACCTCGTACAGTGGTTGCAGGTTTGGCTCAAAAAATTGCAGCTGACGACCTTGTGGGCAAGCACATTGTGGCAGTTACAAACCTGAAGCCAGCCACAATGAGAGGCATCGAAAGCACAGCTATGCTGCTCGCGGCGTCAGACGGTAAAGAGGGCGATGACGAGAAGGTAGAATTGTTGATTGTACCCGATGACGTTCCAAATGGTGAACTCTTGAACTGGGAAGACAAAGAAGCTAGCGAACCTGATGGTTTGATGAAGAGCAAGGGTGCACTGAAAGCTTTTGACCGAGTCAAGTCTGCATTGCGCACAAACAGTGACGGTGAAGCAACCTGGACAAGTGGTGATTCAACTCATCGACTGATGTCATCTCAGGGACCCGTGAAGACAACCTCCCTCAAGGATACTGTCATTCAATGATGAAAACACCATTAATTTTTGAATAGTATCATATCAAATTACAATATTAGTGTTAATATCAATAGTGAATCCCCAGATCATAGACATACTGTAGTCTATTCTTCCCCATCGCATTCTAGCGCGTTACTCTTCTCTTGACATGGACATTTGAAGCGGCAATATTGATGTTGGCGAGTCAATGCTTGGCAGTATTGATTTTTGGTTATGCACAAGCGTAAAGCTGATGAATCCGAGAAAGCACAAACCTATACCAAAGGCTCCAAACATGGAAATAGGTACACCAAAAGCAATAGCTGTGAAAATAACGGCGAGTATGCGCCGAAGGCAATTGAAGCAAGTGTATTGGACAACACTAAGCTTTGTAAGAACTAAACAACTTGCGACACTGAAGTGAAAACAAGCAGTGTAAGTACATGGATTGAACGATGCCACCCCTTTTCAAGTTGATTTCCTTGACTCACCAGTAGGTACAGAAGCAAGCAGCATTGGTCACAGCCAAGACGCCATAACTCCAATTCGCTTGCAAACTCGAGTTGACGATTCGCTCAAATATACCTGGTAATTCAAATATTATGACAGGAATAACAAGGGACATAGCACCAATTTGCTCCATGTGCATCAATAGATTCTCATCGTCCATTTTTTGTGAATCAACGTGTGCTCGGAATAGTTTTTGAGACTTTGCTCTCAGTGCAAAACACAAGTTGGCAATCATGACAATGCAAGCCGTCTTCATGGACTGATGGAACTCTTGATTCATAGTATTGGGATCCGATGAATTGGCAATCGTACTACAGAAAACTCCACCGAGGAGAATGATAAAGCAGATTGCTTCGTTTCCAGAAAGAGAATCGATTCCAAAGAAAAGCGCAATCGCGGTTGTCATTAGGGGTTCGGAGGCCTTCATGGTTTCAACAAACGAAGCCGATGAATGCGAAAAGCAAGTATTGCTGGCCAAGAAATCCAATGCATTAAATAATCCAGTCAAGACGAAATCATAATAGATTGGTTGTGTGTTCATGGAGAGATTCTTTGGTAAAGGTTGAAGTCTGCCAGTCGAAAACAAATGGGTTCGAAGCAACAAGCTTCCAATAGTGAGTTGCTGCAAGGTGAGGACCAGAGGAGGAACTGCATATTCATTCATCAATAGCATCTTGGTTGTGCAGATGCTTCCCACACCCACGCCATACCACACTGGGATTGCCAGCAAAATTTCCCATGTGAGATGCGAACCACCATTATTTTTGTTCCTTTTGTTTGGACTGAGAGATGATAATTTTGGGTCAGTCCAAGACTTCGTTGAGTTGGTCATCTCCAACAGAGCGGGCAGAAAGTCCTATCTTTCTGGTTGAATGGCCAAGGGGGGTTCTCAAAAGGGCTGAGTCTTTGGTTCATGCTCCAAAATTTTGTATCGAACTTTCTCAATTTTTGGTGATGTTGGTGATGTCGAGATTCAAGACCTCGAATAATTTGGCACTGGATGTCACGGAAGTCAGTCACGTAAGACGTAAGACACATGGTCTGATCCGACTAAACCGACTAGTGTTCAACACAAAATATGGGAAAAGGTCATTTTGAAGCCAAGACGTGTACTTACGGTAGAAACTGAATGTGAGAGGACGCCCACCCCTTGCACAGAATGTCTATGACTTCCCCCGCACTTGCCGCTCAGCTGAGGGAAATCTTGACGGCTGCAGCAGCGAAAAGGCAATCTTTTGAAGCTACTCCCCTATCTAGCAACTGAATCATGAGTGGTTATGACCATCTAACACCTGCTGAAATAGGCAGAAAAGCATGGAAGGCTGCTAGTCGTGCCGCCAAGCATATGAGCAAGCACTCGCGAATTGTGAATCCCTCTCTGGAGAAGTGCATCCCCCGCTTTGAACGGTCAGAAGTCATCCTAGGGGAATTCTTAGGAAGTGGAGGTTTCAACGACGTGTATGAAGTCAAGAGAATAGATCTTGTGTCCAACTTAGAGGATGCGGAACACGCCAAGAAGATTGCGTCCCCGTTGCAACAAGAACACAGAGCGTTCATTTCCAAGCACGTCTTTCGAGAGTCATCACAAAACTGCCGTTACGGTATGAAGTTTCTTTCAATGGATACAATTGGCGATCCTGGTCGTTTCTGCACTGGAGCAGCTGATCTTGTAGTTGTAAGTTTGTTTGATTGCATGCGGTTTGCTGTCATCTTATGACTTGCGTGACACACGTTTGAGCGGATGCTGACACCTTTCATTTTCATTCCACTTCCTTCACAGGAAGCCAAGTTTCTTGCATCATTAGAGCATCCTAATATTATCAAGCTGAGAGGAATGGCTGCAGCTGGAACATCTGGTTTCGCAACGATGAAGGAGCGCGGTTACTTTTTGCTTCTTGATCGATTGCAATGCACTTTGGAGGATAAGATTGATGAATGGACAGACAACAAGAAGAAACTTGCAAGAGAAAGAAACGAAAAGAAGTTGCGGTTTTTCCTAGCCGAGCGTCTACATGTTGCTTTTGATGTTTGTGCAGCCTTGGATTACCTGCACACAAATCAAATCATCTACAGAGATCTAAAGCCAGGTAAGGAGCTGATCTTTGTTTTCGACGTTTCTTTCTGTCACCTCTTTGCATATGTGCTTACAACATTTTTCTCCTTGCTTCAGATAATATTGGATTTGATATTAGAGGAGATGTGAAATTGTTCGACTTTGGTTTGGCAAAGGAACTGGATCCTTCATTGAAGAGTGAATTTGATGACTTGTATGAATTATCAGGAAACACTGGTTCCCTTCGTTACATGTCTCCAGAAGTTGCAAGAAGCGAGCCCTACAATCTTTCAGCAGATGTATACTCGTTCGGTCTGCTGCTGTGGCAGGTCTGTTCGCTGGATCTACCATATGATGGTATGAATAGACAGGATCATGCGGAGCTCGTGGTGCATGGGAATGAGCGTCCGAAACTTGATAATTCATGGAGCACACCGCTGCGTATCCTAATGAAGCGCTCATGGGAATCAGACCCATTGGTGAGACCCTCTATGGACTCGATTTACAAGATTTTGAGAAGGGAGATTTGTGCACTTCGGGATGGAGATGACAGTGGGCTTGAGCATACAAAACGAAGATCAACATTTGTTCTTGAACGGGGAGACGCTGGAGCAAAGGCTGGCGAAGCTAGAAGAGCTACTAAAGGATCCCGAATAAAGTCGGATGGACTGGATCATGAGGGATTAAAGAAGCCAGCCTCATAATAGAACGAATAACCTAGTTATGGAAGGTTTTGAAAACTTTTTAAAATTGCATGGAAGGTAGGTAGTCTCTGTTGTGAAAAGGTTCCCGAACGGTTTTGTGCCGTACCAGATACCAGGTGGTACTGGTACGACATCATACATGTACTGTACCGGTACGATAGGCTGGGTTCATAATCGACCGTCCCCCGCCCGTAGCCCATGCCGTCCCCGTCTGTTACCGTGCGTTTCGACGTCACATACACGTGTTGAGAAAGATTTTCAACTTTCAATAACCGTGCTATTGCATCTTTTGTAATAAAACAATCGGCGACAATCTGCAACAATGATGCTTCCAAAGAGTATTTCCTTGATCATTTCACTTTGCGCCATCTCGGTAAATGCCTTTGCACCATTCCATGCCGATGCTTCGCGCTCATTGAGACTTTTATCCACCGAATCAGATTTCGAAGAGGGTTCGTCAGTCGAGAGACGGAGCTTTCTTTCATCCGTTGCAGCTGCTGGATCTCTCCTACTTGCAGAGTCAGCCTCTGCCGATGATGGAGAAGAGAGTTTTGCTGACATTGCAGCCCGTGCCTCTAAGCTTTCTACCACGCAGTCGGAAATCGCTCCCACAGGCGGCGCAAAGACGATGGATGACAAGACTGCATATGATTTTGAACTTCCTTTCAAGGGGGGAAATGTACCATTCAAGGAACTCATCCAGCAAGAGTTCGATGAAGAAGGGAGAGCAAAGATTAAGGCTATTCTTGTGGTCAACATGAAGGAAGACGATCCCATTTCGCGAAACAATATTCCTGAGTTTATTTCATTGGCAGCAAAGTACGTTTCCAATTGAACTTCGCCCAGTTTCTATTTGCTTGCTCACTATATGGCTGACACTCTTTTCTTACCATAGATATGGCCGAGATGGAGAATTTGCTGTTCTCCTATCTCCCAGTGATCAGGGCTACTACGAGCCCGACACATCGCAGCTCATTCGTCTGAAGCTTGCTTCTGAATACGGCTATGGAATTAACCCAGCAACTGTTTTGACGGACAAAGTCATTTTTCTTGGAACTGGATCGACCCCCTTCTGGAGATGGCTACAAAAGAACTGCCGCACGCCTGCAGGTCTCGGAAGAATAGAAGCCAACTACGAGAAATTCCTTCTCGATGGTAGAACTGGGCTCCCGCTCAGAAGGTACCCACGCTTGTACAAGCCTCTTGATATCAAGAACGATATCGAAGCTTTAGTCAATGGACGAGCACTACCACCAGCCGGTGCAAACTATCTAGAGCAGTGGAGACAAGCTGCAGTGGCTGCACAAGCCGACACATACCGTTTCCAAAAGGGGCTCAATTACTATGATCAGTAAGTGAGATAACTACAAATAGATGCCAACTATTAAATCGCGAGAGTTCTTTTGTCAATTGGGAAGAGGATGGCTTCTATGTCTATTTCTTTATCCTTCGTAAAGTCTCTTGCGCGCATTCTTCTTAACCAAAGCAAACATTTTTCTCGTTCTAACGCTGAATTCAGATTTCTTGTGTTCTGGGACATGTTGGTGGGCAATGACGTAAGTGACAGCTCCTGGTTCACCGTCAATGTCCACCGGTATTGACCTTCTATGTTTTGATCTTTCAACCACTCGCTCCATGGTTTCACGCAATGCACTCCGTATCTGAATCTCATCCGATTCATTTGAAGAGAAGGAGTGCATCAGGCGAGAGACACTTTCGTCGAGTGAGGAGTGCTCACTTTCCTCACTCTGGCTCCACCTTTCCACTAGAGAATCAGCATGGTGACTGTCGGTATCCTCTACTTCATCTCTATATTCGGGGAATGTCCTGTATTGCCCAGGTGCTTCCGACCCCCTTGCTGCTTTTCCAGACTGAGCACCTTGAGGCTTCTGCACGGGGCATGGCGTGACCGTGCTTATTAGATCTTTGTCTTCCACGCACTTAATTTCCATCCCAGTTTTTGTCGCCAGTGTGCCTTCATCTTTGTTTCTAGTGCTTGTGGAAAATTCGACAGGGGAGGAGGAGGAAGGAGCACCACAGTCATGTCCACAAGTCAATATAGCCCATGCAATATTCACAGCATTAGTCATGTTTTCAAACCAGTTTGTCTCTTCAGGCTCATTTGACTTTTCTCCTTGCTCTTGCTGCTGCTTTTGCTTTCGTGCCATGTTCAATTTCATTGGGTGCTCGTCGACCTCAACAACTGAATTGGTGTTGTTTCGACGTCTTATTTTTTCTCGCGTCTCTTGAACAAAAGAGGAAGTTGGCCGCTTGCTCTCGCTTGGATCCGAGAATAATGAAAGTTCTTCGAACCTGGTTGGATTTGTGATTGCCGAGGGTTCATCCATCTGTCGAATCCTTACGTACTGTGTAGAGGACTGCTCGTCAGCGGTGCTGATGCCAGTTGTAGCAGCTGTTTGACCAGTCTTTCCCGATACGACAGACGAAGCACTCATTTTGTTGGGGCCATCCGCTGTCTTCTTCAAGACACGGTCAAGTGGTGATTCCCTTTCTGTTTCACTGGCATTCAGTTGACAAGATGAATTTTGGTCACGCTCGTCATTTCCAACTTCAATGGATGATACTTTTGCTTTGGCAGTTATGAGCGCGACCGAAGCAACTACTTCAGCTTGTTTTTTGAACTGCCGTCTTTTCAAGTATGAAGAACCTTTCCTGGAATTGATTTCCGTTTCAGATAAGTTTGGACAAAAGACGGAAAACGCTGCTGCCTTCGCTGTTCTGATGGCCATATCCTCACTTCCGTCTGACAACAGAATCGATTTGGCAGCGATAACAGCAGCCTTTGTTGCTCTCGACAATAATTCTGCTTCTTCAGCCTTTGATGAAGCAAGATCTAGAGCATCATTGGTTCCTCTGGATTTAAACACTCGAGAGTGAATGCTCATGTTGGAGTGAGTTTTGAAAAGAATTATGTCTTTTCTGTTGGATGCAAATTGTTGGAGTGAGTTTTTGAATCGCTAGGAATTTATCATCATATCCATACCGTAGAAAGTATATAAAATCGCCGGAGTCACAGGTCTGTCAGGCGTGCGCAATGGTATTGAAAATGCACGCGATCCGTCCGCGCGAAACCAGGACTGGAAATGTGCGGAGTTTCGAGTTTGTGCGAGCGAGGAAGTGAAACAACTGTACTGGTACCAGGTACCAGGTACCACCTGTTACACGTACACGTGTACCAACCAGGTACCCAAATGCTCCGTTGAAATTGATGGGAGAGCAATAATAATAATTGATTGTAATGGGTAACAATACAAGTATGCTGCTGTCGGCTTGATAGCAACCATTCTTTTTACTTGACATCATCGGATGTTTTGAAGTCTATCGAGAGAAGTAATAGTACTTTGGCGAATGTGGTTGTCTACGGCCTTCACCATTCACAGAATTCGATCCAACGGCATGTTTTAAAGTGTACGTGCATACTATACTTTTTGTCAGGAGAAATTTTGGTCTATTCTATAGTTGTTTATCAGATCTATTGATAATATGAATTCAGGGGCAAAGAGAAAATGTTTCTCAATACGCCATCATGGAAGTTCCTGGGGATGCAGCTGCTAGCCCCTTGATGAAAGCATCGGCATTCAGAATTTTCTTGAATTGCTTTCCGACTTTTTTCATCGTGGAAACTTTCTTCGCCTTCTTTTCAGACTTTTGCTGCATCTTTTCGTTGCGTTCACTGATGATTCGAACCTCCTTTTCCGCGGCTCGAATCTCGTCTTCTGGAATGCCGTAAACGTTGTGGAGAATGTTTTTCCTGGTAATGGAGCTCATTCGAAGCTTTCCCTTGAGGACACGCTCCGACTCGTATTGCTCAATTGGAGTGGATGCCTTATCATGGTAGCCCCAACCAAGACTTAGAGGGACTCCAATCTTGGTTTCTGGATGATCTCCAATGATACGTTCATGCTCACGAACATGAATTGCTCCAAAGGAAACACGTTTGTAGTCTGAGCTACTCGAGGTCGACTCTGTGGCATTAGTGTCGTATGAGGCTTGGGAAAGGTCTGATAGTGATTTGACTGGTGTTAGATTGGTGACTGCCATTTTTCGAACTGTTGTTTGCTGTTGTTTGAGTTGTGTTTTGTTTGTTCGATTTTATGGTTGGTTTGTCGATCAGAATCAAATCTGACGAGCCTCAAATGATGTGGCATGGGTTTCCCCTCTGGTTCGTGCGCCACTTTCCGGGAAATTCCAGTGCAAAATGAACATCATCGAATTCGATTTTTAATGCTCGAATGAGTCACTCAAGAGTCGGCAGCTGGTGTACGATACGTGTTTTGTAAAAGAGGTACCGGTACCAGCAGGAGGCACCTGGTACCATACGTACAGTATAAAGTCGAGGAGAAACCGCCGTTGAAATTTTGATGAAAATGAATGAAAATGATGTCAATGGATTATTGAAATTTGAATTGGTCATGCTCGCGGACTTTAAAAAAAGGTACAATGTAGAAATGTAGAAACGAAGAAAAGTAGACCAACCTGCATGCACAACAGACTCACTCAATACCATACCAACATCCATTATTTCACACCGTGCTGTACCTATATTTCACACCGTACTGTACCTATATTTCATCTTCTTCTAACTTGCAAGTTGCTTGCAACCATCATTGACGTTTCAAAACAGGTCCATACTATAGTCCATAGTCACTAAAGTTGTCATTGAAATTGTTTTCACCAACTTGTGCTATTAGATATATAAATAATACTTTTAGTTTTGTGGCTTGGAAGCTCCTGGACCAGTTGGAATGATTTCTCCAGCTTGGTCCAAGACTCCTTGGAAGTAGGCAATAGTCTTTTGGAGGCCATCTTCCACCTTGACCTTGGGGCTCCATCCAAGCTTTTCCTTTGCAAGGCTAATGTCTGGCTTTCTTCGGGATGGATCGTCCTTCGTCTGTTCCAACTTTTGGATTTCAGAAGCTGAGTTTGTCAATTTTTTGATGAGAACAGCAAAATCTCGGACCAAATACTCATCAGGGTTTCCGAGGTTGACTGGACCATCGTATGGACCGTTCATCAATGCGTGAAGACCGTTTACGAGATCATCAACAAATTGGAATGATCGGGTTTGTTCACCCTCTCCGTAGATTGTGATGGGCTTGTTTTGAAGCGACTGAATGATAAAGTTGGAAACGACACGTCCATCATTGGGATGCATGCGTGGACCAAATGTATTGAAGATGCGAGCAACACGAATATCAACGTGGTTTTGGTTCTTGTAGGAATACATCATCGTCTCTGCAACACGTTTTCCTTCATCATAACAAGATCTAGGTCCGACAGTGTTGACATTTCCCCAGTAGTCTTCCTTTTGTGGGTGCACCTGTGGATCACCGTAAATCTCACTAGTAGAAGTGAGAAGAATCTTGGCACCAACACGCTTTGCCAAACCAAGCATATTGAGGGTACCCATGGTACTTGTTTTGATGGTCTTCACGGGGTTGAACTGGTAGTGAGGGGGGGATGCTGGACAGGCTAGGTGATAAATTTCTTGCACCTCCAATTGGATTGGTTCCGTGACATCGTGGACAACCAAACTGAAAAATGGTGAAATGGAAAGAAATGAGGTGTGATCATTAGATTGAATCGTGGAGGCAACAAAAAATCCTCAAAATAACGGACCTAAAGTTGGGATGTTGCAGCCAGTGAGCAATATTTTTCTTTTGCCCAGTGAAAAAGTTGTCAAGAACAGTAACTTCGTGACCTTCCATCATGAGTTTGTCCACCAAGTGAGAACCAACGAATCCTGCTCCTCCAGTGACAACAATCTTCTTTCGGCGGTGATCACTCAAAATAGGAGTGTGCATAATCTGAGGAGAAGTAATAGTAGGCAAGGATTGTGTGGATAGCAGCTTTTGATCTTCCGCAACACGAGTTTGAATCGAGTCCTCATCAGATTGCAAACTACGCATGCGGGGAGCCCCATCATTTCCATAGCTGGAGCGATTATGAATGTCCTTGACGTTCAATTCCACCAATGCCATTGGAACGGCAACGTAGCCAATCATGATACCAACGACAAGGAGCATGGCACCTTTAGATGCCAAGAAAAAGTTGCTGCCACCATAGGCTTTTCCTTTCTTCTCTGGAGACATGGGACTGGAAGGTGACCTGATAATCCTGATGGAGTCCACTGATGACGCATCTTCTTCATCCCCGTTCTTTCGGCGATTCTTTCGTCGCTCCATGCTGTTGTTGCTTCACTTCGAGGCGGTATCGAATGAAATAAAGGTGCGAAAGTGACAATGACAGCACCGTGACTAGACCTTTATGCTTTCAATTTCCTCAAGAAGAGGTCATTTTCAATTTGTTTGTCTGTCTCCACACGTTCTTCGACTGGTTCGACTGATTTGGTGTCAAAGTCAACCAGAAACGACTGGTTCGACTGCAGGGCGTCGAAAAGCTTCTATCATGTTCCAACAAAATTAGGGTCACAACAGAACATTAGACATCATACAATACTGTACAATTTCACGGCACAACCATGGACTCCCTAGAAATCACACTCAAGTGGTCCAAGAAGGAGTTTGGAATGATCGTCCAGTTGGGTGATTCTGGTCGTTCCTTCAAAGAACAAGTTCATAGCTTGACAAATGTTCCAATCGGTCGACAAAAGCTTCTTTGCGGCAAAAAGAAGGGATCTATCCATTGGAAAGGAAGCTTAACGGATGAGTTTGTCTTTTCAATACCAGACAGTTCCAAACCAGCGACCCATTCACTGATGGTCACTCTGATTGGATCGGCCGAAGCGGCGATTGAAGTACCCAACACCAAGACACGTTTTGTTGAAGACATGACGCAAGAAGAACTACAGGCGGTCGAGGATGCTACCGAACAAGCCGCCATGGCCGATGCGGTGGGTATGATTTCTACCATTCAGCTGCCAGCACATCATCGGAACGATGGCAAACAGGAAACATATCAATACAACCGGTTGGTGACTGGATTGCCTCAAAAATATATTGAAGATTTGTTGAAGCAACGAAAACGAAAGCAAGAGCTACAAGGAAATGACGAAATGATGGATCAGGTGGCCATGTCAATGGGTTTAGAACTGCGCAGAGCATACGTTAATGACATTGCAGTTCGCCACCGGGATGGTACGCTGATTGGTGCTTTGGATGATGGGCACGTACAACTCTGGCGATATGGTCAGATGGAACACGACGTCATTCACGGCGGGGGAGATGGAGGCATTGACTCTGTTGTGGCTTTATCCACACCGAGCGAGGGTCATCTCTCCTTCGTAACTGCTGGCAGAGGGACGTATAAGTTGTGGTCAGAAGACGCCGAGGAACTTGGAACCGTCCGAACGCCTGTACCAGGAGTGACTCCTGTGTCCATGGTGCAAGTTCCGCTGCATCAGAGTGAAAACAATAATAACATGGTATGCCTGGCGGCTAGTTTCAAGGTCGTGCATCAGTCCAACCCATCACAATTTCATTTGGTCCCCCAGAACGAAGAACAAGAACGACGACGAGCAGCCGCAGAGGCACAAGAGGCAGCGAGACAAGAAATCATGGCCAAAATGTCCAGCAGTGTACAAGTACTGTATGGAGCTGCAGATGGCACCAGTCCTTTAAAATCTTATATATTGACCAACCATGGTGAAGATACGGCACCCATTACTTGTGTTACATCCTTTTCCATCACACAAAATGGGAACAGCGTAAGCTTTTTGGTGGCAGGTGACCAAGAAGGATGTTTGCGGATTTGGGTGGCCCAAGTGGAGAAACAAAACGGAAACAATATTGTCAACTTTGCTCTGCAATCCACCTTTTGGCTGAGATCAGAAGAGGGCAGTTCCCTCTCGATTGTTTGCCTCGAGCCCATGGAGGTGGGTGATGGACAAGCAGCTCGATTGGCCGTGTCTACTGCACCAACCGGGCGATCCAGACAACCGTCACCAGCAGGCCCATGTGTATCAGTATCAACGACACGGGCCGTGCATTTGTTGGACTTTGCTACTCAAGGAGAAAGCTTAAGCATGCCATCGACGTCACATGCTCTTACTGGTCATACCAAAGATTCAGTGATCTGCATGCGTTCCTTACCCGATGGTGGATTGCTGACTGGAGGAGGCAAGTTGGATGCCACTGTTAAGCTCTGGAGTGCATCTCAATTTTCTGCCAATATAAATGCAATGGATGTTGACGAAACACAAGTTACAACAATTGAATCACAACAACGACAACTTTCAAAATGCTCTCAGACAATATCATCTCTTGGCTATGTCTTTGCATTGGAAGTGTTACCCGACCGGATGGAAGGTTCGTCACAATTCGCTATTGCTGGAGCCCGATATAATACGTTGAAGATAATATTATAAAAGTTTGTGGTTGGGTCTTTTACTGCAGTCCTACAGTAAGGACGTAGAGTACAACTATTTTGCCTGCGACTCGCGACTTGTGTCATCCGGGACTAGAATGGATCAAAGCGATGACAACAACATGATAAGATACATATTTGAATGCTACATCAAGTCTACAGCCAACTAAGCTCCCTGCAGGAGTGTCCACCTGGCGATTTGGAGCCTCCAACAGATACGTTTATTTGAATATTCAAAACGACGATGAACGATGACGATGGATCCCTAGAAAGCGTGCCAAGCAACAAATCAGTGGAAGAGAATACAATTGAATTTCAGAATACCAAACCACGATCTTCATTACATGAGTCGCTGAAGACCTTTGCCGGAGTAGCCGGCAATGTCCTCGAATGGTACGACTTTGCAATATTTGGATTCTTTAGTGACGTTTTAGGAGTGGTCTTCTTTCCCAAGGATCAGTCGGAAGACCTGAGTGTTATGGAATCCTTTGCCGTGTTTGGAGGAGCCTTTCTTATGCGCCCGCTGGGCGGTGTCATTATTGGATACATTGGAGACACCAGAGGTAGAAAACACGCATTGGAAATCTCCTTGTTTCTCATGGCGTTTGCAACAACATTGATGGGCTGTCTCCCGACTTATGATCAAATTGGAAATGGTGCTATATTATTCCTACTATTGGTACGAATGCTACAGGGTCTAAGTGTGGGCGGTCAACTTATGAGCTCTTTAGTTTTTACAGTGGAAGGCCGTCCACAAAGTCGATGGGGTCTCTATGGAAGTTGTGTCATGGCTGCTGGTAATTTTGGTACATTTTTGGGTGGAGTAGTGGCAGCCGGGTTGAGATCAAATTTGACCTTTGAGCAATTGACGCGGTGGGGGTGGAGAATTCCCTTCTTGTCTGGATTTCTGATATCCTTGTGTGGTCTCTACCTCAAGTACTTTTGTGCCGAAGATGAATTGTTGCCAGGACATGCGCGCACCGAGCCCAATGATGGTGACAACCAAGTCAACACCTTATCGAATCCACAAGATGATGACCTTGGTGATCCAAATGACGGGATCATAATCGTACCTTCCAGTTCCAATTCCAGCGACACGCAATCTATCAATCCACTCCGCGAAGCTTTTTCGACCAAGAATCGCCGCAACCTGATTGCCAGTGCCTTTGTCCCCATGCTCTGGAGTGGCGGATTTTATCTTTCCTTTGTCTGGATGGCCATTTTTATGCGTGACCTCATGGACCCGCCAGTAGAATCAGCCTTCCAAATCAACTCGTGGTCATTACTCTTGATAGGTCTTTGGTTTCCGCTTGCCGGCTTCTTGTCGGATCTATGGGGTCGGAAAAAGGTCATGACAGTGGGTGGAATTGTCTTTGCAGTCTTTGGGCCTGTCATGATTCTGATAATTGGACAAAGGGGCAGTCAAAGTGCTCTCATTACCTTTGCGTCGCAGACGGTACTGAGCATATCCCTTTCGCTTTGGGGTGCCCCCATGTGTGCCTGGTTGGTGGAGAGTTTTGATCCGCAAGCAAGATTGACCTCAGTAAGCATTGGGTACAATCTATCCCAAGCTATTGCGGGCGGAATGTCTCCCTTTGTGGCTACTTTATTGGTTGACGAAGCGGGTTTGGCAGCTCCCGGTATATTGCTCTTTGTGCTTGCGGCGTTTTCCATGGTTGGCTTGTGGATTATTGCACCATCATCGTTACAAGGAGGTCACCATGCATCGGTACCCATGACGGAGTCACTGAACGACGATAATGATGGTGGCATTCTTCAGCAGCCAGGAAAACTAGAATTGAAAGAGATTTGCTAAAATTATAATAGGTGATACCTAGAACCTAAAGTTTTGATTGCATCGGACCGATAGGGCGAAGATGGTACTCAGAATAGTATTGGTGTAGAAATCGGATGATTGATTCTTTTATAATCCTTTGGTCGTGGACGGACTAAAATCGCGAACGTACTGGTAGCCAGTCGTGATGAACACACGCGACGAAGTGCACCATATAACGTATGTGTTCGGCACTCCGCGGTTGGTCACAAGAAAACTGTGAATCACACCAGTCATTGGCGGGCTATTTTAGGTGATTCATTCGTTTTTTCAACGCCTTGCCTGAAACTTTTAAATATCCAACAATCACCACTCACAATATGACCATGGTGGCAGCACCAGCAAGCCCGATGTCAACTGTAACAAAGGATGAACCCAATGCCGATAAAGAACGGCAACTTCAAGACCTACAGTTTGAAGAAGCTGGCAAAATGTCATTTGAGGAAGATTTGGACTTCGATTCGTCGTCAATTGTCAACTTGGAAATGGAAGCCAATAGTGAATGGCAAATGTTTGCGGATTTGTCGGAACTAGTACATTCTGTAGAAAACACATTTGATACAGTCACGATAGCCTCTGCTGATCTCAGTGAAATTCATCTGAATGATTCGACGGACGAAATAGATGGCGACGATGATGATGACTTGGAGAATGAATGGGCGGAACTGTCACGAGTGGAAGGATTGGTTCGAAAGGAACTGGAAAAGCAACGGCTCGAATTGGGGATCTCGCCAGTGCCAAACGAAAAACGGGAACGGGAACACACCCTCTACGATCATTACAAGGGTCTCAAAATGGAAGAAGTCAAGGGGATTGGCTTTGTATGTGACAAGAGCCAATTTTTGGAGATCCTTGATAAGCCATCCTCTACATTAACCAAGGATTGCGTCGAGTTCTGTCAGCCGCTTTTAGAATCCAAGCTGGAACAGTTGTACTTTGGAATAGAATCGGTTTCTCGTGCCGACAGTGAAGGGCAAATCAACTCGACATTGCCCTTTAGGACGGTGGCATTTCGAATTCGACCTGACAAACTCAGTGGTGCCATTATGGATTCCGTCTGCAATGCCGTTGCGCTTTCCTCTACGAATAGCACTCTCAATCTACTCAAACGACAAGGTCGCCATCTTCGTGCAGTAGTAGCCAACGAGAATATCAAATACGTGATTGATGCTCAATTGTGTATCACTCGCAACGGTGGATTTCAAAGACAGCTGTTGCTTCGACTCTACTATCCCACGGAACAAGAATTGGTCGAAACTGATCTTCAGAACACTACTACTTCAAATGCTGAGAGCGAGTTGCGAGATACTGTGATCCCGTCCAATAATCATTTGAAGGAAGCTTGTGCTCTTTTGCAGCTCATGCATCGACTCGAATTGTCCGGCAATAAGCAGTCCTTGGACAAGCCGTTTTCAACCTTTCGTAGAATATCTTATGAAACGGCATCCTCCAATCTAAGGACCAAGTTTCGAAAGTCTGAATCAGTCAAAGCCAAAAGAGGGAAAAGCTTTTTCAAGCACAAGTCGCTTCTACTCCCAGCGCTTTCAAAGGATGATTGGTTGCTGCTGCAGGCTTCTTGGCCTTTGGTGGAGAATATTTGGGATGGTTTGTCGTCCACCTTTACCCAAAGTTCTCTTCATAGCTCGTCTCTGGAGCGTTTAAACCAAATTCCCTGCCTAGACGTTCACTTTTGCATGGACTTGTTCCGACTGTCAGAAGAGCTCATGATTACTGATCTTGAAAGGGCAAAGGCCAATCTCCGACAACACAATGAAAAGGGTAGATACATTAGCAATATCTTCACCCACATCACCAAACCGATGTTCGAGATGTACAGTCTCAAGCAGGTGGAAGAGTTACAAGAAACGATGACCGATTTTGACGTTCCCCGCTTTGACACGGAAGACAGCATCTTCATGTCTCTCGCCAGCCAATCGCTAGAATCCTCTGGTATTTTGAACAAGGACAATACCATACTACAGTCGGACTTTCAAGTGTCGCAAGAGGCGGTCCAAGAGGTTTGCTCAGCATATCATTCATATCACTCTGACATACAAAGCAAATTTGTCAAGTACATGACATCTCAGGTCCAAAAGACCCTCTACCGCTACCGCTTTTGCATTCACGAAACCTACAAACGACTCAAGAATGCCTACCGACATTCCGAATTGGCCGTCGAAGAAAGCAACAAGTTCTTAGATCTCATGCAACAAGCGAAGAACTTGACTAGTGAAGGCACAGAATTGGCCATTTCACCATTTTTGAAGTGCCAAGTGGATGGTGGAGAGTGCTATGTGACCGAAACACACCTATTACTCCACACCAACAAGCTGTACCAACAGCCAAGCATTGTTGAATGGTTCCACCAATCCAGTGCATTGCTATTTCAACTTTCCGACATTCAGGTTAAGGTGAAGAGTCAATCTCACCTTCAAATTTCCACCAAGGAAGGAGAAGAAATGGTCCAATTCTCTCCAAATATTCCAGTAGAGCGATTGCATCTGTTCATAAGCATTATGCAATCATTGCAGCACGAGAAAATTGACATGGTCGGCGTCGTCTAGAAAAGTATCAGATAGAGAGGGGAGAAGCGCACATTGGTATACCAAAAAACAATTTATAATAGATTCTATTTCGCTTCTTATGCATCTAATTTTTTCCCTTTGTTTTCATTGTTTGCTTCGTGTTTCTACCTTGGGATGGAAACTTGGTATGTGTTGGTCCATGATAGTAAACTTTCAGAATGTAATTTTTGGGTCTGTTGACACTTTCTTCAAAACGATTTTGGGTCTGTTGACACTTTCTTCAAAACGATACTAGATTCTCAAAAGCCACGGTAGCCTTCATTGATCTCGGCTGCATTAGTTTGAAAGTCCGTCTCCATAGTTGAGACATTGTTGATCGCAAAGAGAAGTTTCTCTTTCAATGTCTCTTTGTTGCTGTATTGGGGCAACGACAGCGAAAAGAAACAAGTACTAGCACTTGGAAGTGCCTTGTCTTTGTTCTGTTCCGAACTATCTAGTTGAATCTTGAATGGTGCTTCAAAGTCGCTTTCCTTCATTGGTAAGCGATTTCGCGCCCAGACAAACTGAAGGAACTTCTTTCTCTCGCTACTGGTGAATTCGCGTAGAGTCTCCCAGAAGTATTCAATTACAGAGTCAGTTGCTTCAAAGCCCTCGTATTCGACAACACGCTTTAGAAGGTCGACATCAATATCTGGATTGCCGCAGATGATATCTCTTAACTCCTCACCGGTCAAAATAGTGAGAACTTCAACGGGTATCACATTCGACAATCCCTCAACGAACGAGTTCAACATCCGCTGTTGCCATTTCAGCAAAGCTGATCGCCCTAATGTGCCCTGTTCTTGATTTGCCGCCAATGCATCTATTTCGTTCATGCGCCTTGACTCTGAGGTGGGTTCCTCGACAATGGCTCTCCATGTTGACTCCAGGGGTAGTGGTAGATCAAGCGGAATGCCATGGCGGAATGCAGTACCTGTAAGGCGGCCGAGGAACACAAGTGCTTCCTCAACTTCCCGTGACCTTTCGTCACGAGTGAAAGCGAGGCTTGAGAATGAGTCCAAAATACGTTCTTCTTCGGTGGAAATAGGGTTCTTCTCGTCACCTGAAACACCAACATCAACTCCATTTAATGAGAACATAAACAAACCCTGATTTTCCCCAATCTGGGACACATTGTTCGGAGTTGCGTCGAGGACTCCAAGCGCACCACTACCTTGATCATCAAGGTTGAGTATTTCTGAGAACGCATCTGTGAACGTCTCTCTATAGGGTCCGGAGTAGTCGTTGACACCTTCGCCAATGAGCTTGACTTTGAAGGCTCTCTTCTGGCCTCCATGACCTTTTGCAACGAACCCACGACGAAGCGCTGCTCCTCCCCAATTCTTTGTTTCATTCTGAAGCTGCGCAAAGACACTATGCTTGCGCTTTGCACTCGAATCAGTGGTTGCAATTACCCGACGAGCCTTGAGTCGATTTAACCGGACTGTTCTGATTTCACGCGGGAGCTCATATTCGTCATGAGAGAGTGGAGTTGGCGTAGTGGTCACTTCAGTTATACTTTGAAGTAAGTCACGTTTCACACTTGAGAAAAGCAACCCACGATGATCTCGTAGTCTTGAGGCAACGGATTCTACTTGTGGCCATCTTTCGTCGGTGGAGCTGCGGTAGTGGCGCCCAGCTCGATCAATCGACGTTCCGTGACCCCGAATACCGCCCAGAATGGCCGAACTTTCTTGGCAAGGACGAACAGAAAGCCAAGGAAGCGCCACTCTTGCATGTCTATTCAGAGCCCGAAGCATGGCAACCCTGACCATAATTGAGTCAAGTGATGGAAGCGGTTGATTCAAAGAAGCAAACAGCGTAGCCGCAGCCTGGTTGGCGTGCTTTGAAAGCGTCGGTGTAGAGATCGTTTTTCCAGTTGACGACGCTAGTGCGAATGATATGGCGGATGCTACATGATCAATTGGGGTGCAGAGCACACTGCCAGATTCAGAGAAGTCACTAATTGCGCTCAAAACTCTTGACAAAAATGAATCAGATTCCGCCGGTGATAGACCTTCAATTACCCCGCTGATTGCCAGAGACTTGAAAGAAGCAAAATCCAATTTGAAGTCAGGCAGACCCGAAACACTATCCTTTTCGTGCTTGGCCCTTTCTATAAATTCTTCTTGCCATTCCTCTGCGCATTCTTGTGCCGTTGAAAAGGATGACAGCTCATCGTCACTCGTCTCCGTCGATTCCACAACAGCCACAATCGCTTCCTCTTTCCCACCTCGGATTTTGCTACTGATCCAACCTTCAAGAGATTGAAATCGAACGCGATATCTCACGACTCCACACGAGTTTACACGACGCTCAAGAACATCCTTTTGTGGAATTATTTCGTCGCATGGAATGGAGCCCAAATTAATCGAGCCATCAAATATCTCCAAGTCTGATCTCACAACGGCGCCGCCTTTGTAAACTATCTTTAAGCCACCAGTCGAAGTACACTTGAACCTGTCCATGAGAGGTAGCTCGACTCCAAGGCATTTGGGTGTGCCAATGGGAATTAGCCCATCGACAACTTCACTTTCATCCCAACACCAAGCGCGCCCACCTCCCTCTGTCAAGCTCCCGCCTTCACTCTTCTGGGAGACAATGCGATAATAGAGTCTTCCTTGAAACGCACCAAGCACAATCGCCTCTTCAGCAAGCTCGAGAATGCGCCCTGCACTACGCTTCAACTTGACTTTGTCGCCTGAAAGCAGGGGAAGTTTCAGACCAAGCAAGGCACTTGCGCAAGCACAAGCTAGTGGGCTAGAGTCTAGATCAAGGTCTAGACCGATGTTCGATACCCGATACAACCCACTGCCTCTTGTAACAGTGTGGTACCATTTCTTAGACGCCCATCGATTATATTCAGCAAAGGCCTCTTTGAGGAACCACTTCGGCATATCTTCAATATCGGTAGACCCTGAAGAGTACCAGTGAAAGATCTCGTCGACAGCAACAGCATTACGGACTGTAGAAAACCCGTCGACTCCATAGCTTGACATCCATTTTGGTGACATTGTCACCCTGTCCCCATGATTTCGCAGACCGATAACAGGCCACAATGCACGTGGCCGCACTGCCCCCTGCGCTGGATGCCGCCCACTACGTCCACCTTCTGAACCACTCGGCGCTCCTTGAGCAGCTCCTCCACTACCACAACCATCTACGTTGAATCCAAACGGAGAGATGGTTTCGAAAGCACATCCAAGATCATTGAGGATATGTTCACCATATTTCAAGCCATCAAAGAAGAACGAGAGTCTTCCAGCGTCACAATCCAACAGGACCCCAACAGTATCACCAGCGTGACAATGAGCTCCATATATACGCTCCGCTCCGGCTGTGTAAGTCGCCCGGAAGTTCACAAAGCCCCATCCATGCCAACGGTTCAAACGGGTTTCATCATCGTATCCGGAAGAAGAGCCAGAGCCGCTTCCATTTGGTTTCTCAGCAACGCCTATAAACACACTCCCAATATCAGCTTGTTCGAGTTTGACTTCCCAGTAGTGTACACCCTTCGTAAATCCAGAAGAAGCAAATGCAATCCCACGCCCTGCAGATGAAACACAGGACACGGTTCGACCATCCTTAGATAATGCAAGAGAAGATGCGTGATTTTCAGTGTCAAATCGAATTGGCGGTGGCATTGGTGCCTGACTTCCCGTCAATTTCGCTTTTCCCTTTTGCTTGAATTGTTGCCCACGCAAAATACGCATTTCACTGGCCAGTTGTACCTTATTTCCATCGTCGCGGTTTCGTAATGTTTCAACCAGTAAAGTCGAACTTCCAACGAGTTCCTCGAATAGAGATGCGTCTGGCGAGTTCACATCCAAATCAATTCGACGTTTTGGTGAAGACGATCCAGTTGGACTCAACACAAAAGTTGTACCCAACTTGAAAGATGGCTGCCCAAATCGAGCCTCCCAGCCGGAATCTTTAGAACCGAAAAGCAGCTTTTTCTCACAGACAGTCACAGATCCATCTGAATGGAAAGTGCAATCAACAAGAACACCTGCCCCAAAGTCAGGCCATTCCAGGACACCACTATGACGTGTTTCAATCCCGTCCTCCGAAAGTGTCTCTCGCCCTGTATTTCTCAGCCGAAGCAACACACTGTAACTCTTTTCTACGCCGAAGCCACGCCTTGCTGCACATTGCTCTGCACTTTCTGGTAGTGGGTGTCGCTTCCTGACACGAGTTGCTTTGTCGTTGACTTCAACGTGGCTGATGTCATAGCGTCCACCATCTCCCCCATAACGATAAATGCCCTCCTTTCCAGTTAGGTGCCACCGCACTCTCCTTGCCAAACCTGGCAAACCGTCCCAGTCTTCTATGGAGAGAACTGTTCCTAGAGGGAGTTTCGGATTCGGAATTTTCTTCTTTTTCTTGGTAGGTGAATCTTCGTCGCTCTTGTCCTGCGATTCAGAGGGTGCGTGCGCAGCTCCAGCAGGATCCACTTCGCCATTGTCGTCAGAATCTGTTTTAGACTCTACCTGAGTGTCGTCCTTTGAATCTAAATTGGACACCGAATGTTCTTTTGCTCTACTTTCTTCGGAACGCTGCTTCTCCTCTTCGCGCTTTGACTTTTCTTCTTCGTAGTGGTCTTTGCCATCCTCGTTTCCACAATCTGATCTCTCTTCCCAGTCTAGGCCTCGCATGACAAAACAACCTTCTCTTAGCATGGGAGGACCATCTCCACCGTCCATCAACGTTCTAACAGCGGAACGGGTGGGAACTTTCCAGTCGACAGCAAACATCTTAACAGTACCGGAAAGAATTTCCCAACCATCATCACTGGATATCCAGTTGTCTTGAGATTCCCAACTAGAATCACCTTCCTGTATGTCACTTGTTCCTAGAGGCAGAGGAGTTGCTGCATCGACGGAATATGTGTTCCAATGTCTCATAAATTCAACAGGCATCTCCGATAGTCCTACTGCTCTCTTGACGCTGCATAATAGCTCCATCATTGCCTGAACGTAGCGCGAACACACCGGGGTGGATGCTCTTTCTGCCCATACACGCCGCGAAACAGTGCTTTCTAGGCGCCCGTAGAAGCGACACAATGTAGGCACAGCCTCTACAACTCTTTTGAGAGCAAGCGGGCATCCATTCAAGATTCCAGCGGTGGTGAATGCGCAGATCATTCGCCATGGTAGTGAAGCAGAGAGCATACCGACACTCCAAGCTTCGAAAAGTTCCGACATTATTTCGTCGAAATCATCGACACAATTCTGAACCTGTGGAGTGAGCAAAAGACCTGTCATGAAGCAAACAAGTCGTGCATCAGGTTGAGGATCCATATCGTTCTCAGCTGCTTCAGACTGCTTGTCACTTGGTGTGTCTTTTTCAACTTCAACTTCTACGTCTTCATCTGGATTCTCGTCCGATGCGTCATCGCCGTCGTACTCGACAACAGCCAAGCGCCGAACAGATCGACGGATTGAGGCTATAATTACACGGCGCAGATCAGGTGACTTGCAAACAGCCCCAACAAGCCCCTTTTGCAAGAAAGCGAGAATACCGCTTCCACCACCGCTACAAAGCACAGCTTCTGCAGAGGCAACTAATGTTCCACCAGGTGAATAGGCGCCGGACTCTTGCTTCCATTCTAGCAACGTACTGAGCAACTGGGTGGCACCAGTTGAAGGGAGAACGACATCATCATCCAAGTCAGCAACAGAGGTAAGACCTGCTTTGCCACTACCCGAATGACGAGATTGCGAGGCGTCATTACTTGAGATCCCAAGACCAAGTGCTTCTGCCGCGATGGCCATTGCTCCAGCTTCTCCAACCCAACCTGCTGAGCGGAGACTGGCGCTTTCTTCTAGAAGCATCCAAAGCCGTAGCGAACCCTCTGCACCGCCGGCTTCCAATTCAAAATAGCAATTTGGGTCAAACTTGTCACCCATAGCAACTAAGATGTGCAGAAGCAATTTGCGAGAAAATAGCGAGCCCACGTTGACAAACTCTTGAGAAAGTTGTTTATGTACGCTCTTCCCTACAGCAATGTGGCTCTTCGCAATTTCGCCAAAGATTGAAATGTCAACATTTTCCGTAGATTGTGACGAAGGGTATTCCTTCCATAGTTTGGCAAGGCGACGATCCAAACAAACAGATGGTCCTTGTGATGCATGCAAGGACGAAGACGGCTTGACAACACCACTCGATTTCATACGGCTTGATCCTAGGTGTACCGATGCATCTGATCCATAATATCGATGAGCCCATGCCATCAATTCATGCCCATGCTCCCCATCGGAGAAGTCACATAGAAATCGCTTCGCCTCTTCCGGCTGAGACCCTTCCTCTTGTTCTTCAGATGTTGGAATGGTAAGGTCGAGATCCAAAATAGCCTCCTTTGCGACTAAGGCTTCGCGTTCCGTGACAGCGTCCAGTACGGCATCACCAACACCACTGTATCCAGCTGGAGGTTTGTGCTTGAAAGGTTCGCTACCTCTGCCACCAAGAATCAGCCGCAACTTTTCTTTTCGGTTGAAACTGACGCATGCATACACACCTCCACAAGGTCGAAATCCCTCTCCAGAGAATGCAACTCCCATCCCGATTTCTTCCGCTCGACCGTTCAAAGTAAATGACATGACATTTTTGTCCATATCCACAAGGCAGCCAACTACGTCACCTTCTTTCCAGCGGCAACCCCACTCTGTGGCGGTTGCATGCCAGCGATATCTTCGCCATCCATCATAAGCCCAAGAGCTGGGACCATCGCCACAACCGTCACCGCGATCAGCATGACAGTGACCCGAAAAGCTCCCATCAGCCCAGCCAATCTGAAAGCACCCTGCAGTCTCAAGTATTGCTTCATAGTACCATTTCCCTGATGTCAGCATTACGCCTTTGGTTCCAACAGAAGAGAACCCCCCTGTTGGAAGACCTGAAATTGCAAGGGTTTTCGGATTGATTATTGATCTTCCAGATATGAAGCGAAGTGGAATAATTGAACCTTTCCACACTGCAGTGTCATCTTCGTCGGTTCCTGCCACTGTAGGTGAGCTTTGGCTCGCGACCTCGTCTTCTCTAGCCTTAGAGTTCGTTGCACCCTGGGCATCGGCAGATTCATCACCATCATGGCTGCCGGCACCTTCATCTTCGTCGTCAATATCATCATCTTCGTCACCGTCTTCCATGCCCTCGTCTTCTGCACTTAAGCGCTCACCATTAGACAAAATCCATGTGAGTGCCTCATCTACATTGTTCCCAGTGGCAGCAAGTGCCTCAGCACACCATCGGCTAGGAAATCCCATTTCCATCAACTGCTGAAGAAGCTGCGTCGACTGCTCTGCACGACTAGCTCTACGACGTCCTAGCGAGGCCCCGGATTGTCTCTGGGCTCGTTCTCTTTCTTCAGCGACGAGCCTCTCCATATCTCCGCCGCGCTCCAGACAGAAATGTACAGCTGCTTCTATATTTGTGCCACCGGTTCTCCTCAAAGCGAGTTCAGACCATGAACGTGGAAGACCAAGTTCTGCCATCTGGGCGATCGCAGCCTCACGAAGATGGGCCGCAGCTGTAGCCGCTGCTTCACTATCATCTTCACCTTCGCTGTTGTCGCTGCCAGTATTTGTTTGCGAGAAGGCCCCGCTTTGTGCAGAATCGGCATCCTGCGATGTAGCTCGTTCAGATGAACCGCTTTGACCACTTGTTGAAGAGGCTGCTGCTCCACTTAAGTCCGCCAGAGCAATGTTTTCGTCGTTGACACCAGGCTCGCTAGCGGCTTTTTCAAGGTCTGATGCAATCGCTTCTTTCTTTTTCTCGAGTTCTTTCATCCGCGATTTCCATTCTTCCTCCGAAGTTTCAAGTGTGGCTTTTGCTCTGAAATCTAAGCTGCGATGCAGCGAGATCAAGTGAACAAATCGTGTCTCATGAGAAGGAAGCGACGATAAGCATCTGTGGTCACCACTGCTGGGGACAGACTGACCAGGGCAAGCCAGTTTCAGAATTTTCGAAAGAATATACTTTGCACCAGGATTTTTAAGGAAAGGAAGCACCATCTTTTCGTCGCAGAGTAGTGTAGCTGCAGCTCTGATGGTCATTACAGCCTCAGTGAACCGAACAACGTCCGAGTTCATGTCGTTAAATGCAGACACTACAGCGCGAGGACTAGCATCTAAAGGCTCCGCTTCTCTTTTCGCTTCACCTGAATCCCTCAAGCCAAGGCTCTCCCACGTTTTTATTGCAGCTGGTAAGTGGACGTTTAGAAGTTTCTCCGTTGGAATTGAGTCATCCAAAAATAATGGGACCTCTAATGCCTGAACAACATCTCGCAGCGGGCTTCTCAGCGCCCGAACTGTTAGTGAATGGCGGGACCCGTTTGATTTCACAGAAGCACTAACAGCTGGGGTTCTTCGGAGACTCGGTTCTTCGACGTCTCCGTCAGTATTAGACTCTAACTTCCTGTTAAGAAGCACCACTTCGCATATACCATTCTTCACATCGATACTACTGACTATCCCACCGGACGCTTCTTCTCTGCAAAGTCCTGCGACAATTCCTTCAGTCCCATTTCCCACGATGTGATGTGGTGTTGAACTCAATCCAGGAAAGCCTGAGGAAGAGTTTGAGTGGCCCTTGCTATTACTACTACCTTGGTGATGCACTGAAAGAGGTGTTGCTGATGCAGGTTTGAGAAGAACATACGAGCCTCTGCTAATGGCATCGAAGCCTCCGTTGAAAAAACAAAAGACGCCTAACCTTTCCATAGTATCAGAACTCTCTTGTGATTGCAAAATTCTTGCTATGGAGGTGTTGACATTCGACCTCCAATCCATTTGATTTGTTGCATGAAGATGTCTCAAAAGAGATACAACTTCGCATGTTACACCTTTTTCATCTTCGTCAATACTCTTGGACATAAGGGCTGATGAACGACCAGCAATAGAGAAGAGGCCGCGGATCAAGGCTGTAGATGGTTCGGAGTTTACAAGTAGAGGAAACATCAACCGAAGAAGTCGAGTTTTGTATCTTCCTGGAAGTGAGTTACTTGATTCTGGGTCCTTTGTGGAGGAGATTTTTCCATTTTGGTCATATTCAACAACCAAACCAATTGCTCCAAGAAGCAACGTCAGCCATCGATGGTCTTGCAAAACAATTTTTCGACAATGCTCTGACTTGCCCAGACAGACGACAATATGCAGCCACTGGGACAAAAACTGGTGGCAGAAGTTGCTTTGAAATTTTAGCACCGTATCCTGAACGTTTGACGAATTTATCGATTGTCCCCCTCGACTTCGTGATGGCCTTTGTGATGTCGATTGTGGAACATTCGACTGATACAGCCCGTGTGCATCCAAAAATCTCAATCCAGAAACACCAACTTGTTGAGTTGGTGGCATATTCTTGCGAGCCTCTTTCTTCTTCATTTTCGTAGTTGTCACGATATCAGACCACTCTTCCCACTGGCTGGACTCAAGGTGAGAACGGTGTTCAGTAATCATCTCGCTGTATGCACTTCGAATGCGAGGAAGCAAGATTGAAATTTCACCCAGCACTGTATTCGAACATTTCGATAGTAGACCTTCCCAGCCATTGATTCCTCTGTTCGATGAAGCACTTGTTTGGTAGACAACAACATGAATCAAGGCAACAACCGCACGAAGAATCGATCGAGAAGTTTCTCGCTGACAGATCCCTTCTAGGCTCTCGACAAGACAAGCATCTTGTTCTTCACTTTTGATCCCGAAAGTAGGTCCCAAAATAGCACGATGGTGCTGATCTAAGATTTGTGGAAGAAGAGAAAGCAATCCTGTATCAGTCAGAACAAGTTCAAGGTCTTGATGTTTCATTGCACACGTGAAACAAGAAAGGACCGCCAAAATCATGGAGTCAATGCATAGAAGCGATTCGGGCTGCGTGGTTTTTGCTCTCAACTCAATGACTCGTTTCATTGAAAACGACAGTGACTTCATCAAATCATGCACTTTTTCTTGGAGGGTGTATCGAAGAAGTCCAGGAACACCTGCGAGACCGTCCGTGTAGTGTACACCAAGGCCATTCTCACTCGAGGGTGAGCTCTGCGACTTTTTCCCGGTGTCTGGAGACGTTTTACGACCCAAGATTTTTGGCAAAGCAACTGTCAAAGCTTCAATTGAGGTTGGGCTTTGAACACCATGTTCAGAAGATAGTAGATTCTGGAGCTCCTTTAGAGATGCCAACCTTAAAAGTGCACGTTTCGATGACCGTGACAGCTCTGCTGCAAGAAAATCCAAGTCATCGGTGCCAACAACCACTCGAAAAATGTGCGAAAAATCACTAGCAGCCATTGTGGTGTTAACCGGTTGGTGAAGGGGGACCTCATAATTGATAAAGAAAGATGCGATCGACTCGTACAAGCTGCAAGTCTCTGCAGCAGTCTCACGAGACGACGGACTAGACTTCAAAGCAAGAGCGTGACGCAACCCATCTTCCATCATTTGAAGGGCAAATCTCCAAACTGCGACAAGTTCTTCAGGGACATCATCATGGCCAGATGCATGCTTCAATTGCTGTTCCAGTCCAGTGTGGTGGACGAAAGCGCAAATTAAGCGACGTCTTGCTGAGCTGTATCCGGTTGGACAAAGTGCAGAAAGCGAACCACGACCTCCAGATATAGCGCATACTCTATTGTCGACCTGATCAACCACCTTCGAAATATCATCAGAGAATCCATGATACCGAAAGCCACCATCATCTGCTGGTAAATCAGCAAGAAGACTGTCGTGCATAGAGATCGCCGGTGAAACTTGCGCGTTCAGTGCAGAGGGTGCATAGAACTTCTGGAGATCGTTCGCGTGAATTTGGAGAGCATTCTTGTCTTGGCCAGTGGCCATTTTGGACAACAAAGGGAGAGAAAGGCACCCCCTTAAACTTTGGTGACGTAAACTTGTGTCGCGTGACAATTCTGTTTCGCCAACGTCCTGCTGCAATTGATCTCCCGCAGTATCATCACTCACAAGGTTACTCAAGTGGCTGTGAGCAAGGCAAAGAAGCGCTTCACCAGACGTAGATGCACTTTCGATGCTCTCTTCCTTATTTAAAGGAGAATGCTTCGGAAGACTCTGAGCAAGCGGATGACCCGAAGCTGAGCGAAAACCTGCAATCTTTCCAGCAGTGCCGAATTGGACATTGCGGTAGCTCCCCTCAAACCTCGATCCGTCAAGGCTTAATCTTGCAGCAATGACACATGAAGAGGAGCTGTCATCGGAGGATACGTTGGTAAAACTTTCATCACCAGCATCGGTCCACTCTTCAACAAAATGAATGGAAGATCCTATAATTGTACCAAAAATGGACACCAACCCGTTTTTTGATTTGCCAGTGGTTCCGACGCCACGCCCCTCGAATCCAAGAACAGAACTGTTTTTACCAGTCGATGGAGAAAGGTCAACGACATACTCTTCCGAATCTGAACCATTTCCTGTAGTCCCAGTAGCCCGAATGACCCATTTACCACCACACAGTCGAGAGGGGAAAAGGCTCCGGATCACCGAATGATCGCCGCCGTGTTGTTCTATTTCAAGAACACATTTCGTCAACTCAGGCATCAATGCAAGTGCACTTCTTTCCGAGAGCAAAGGAATGGACGGTGGCATCAAGCACAACGCACTGGCCAAACTTGGCATTAAAGATTCCCAAAGGAATTCATCATTTGACTCCTTGATTCCCTGGAGAATGTGCTGTAAAGAATGCTTTGCATAAAGTACTCCATCCCACGACAGCTTCTCGTTGAAATTTCGAACTTGCTCTGCTTTTGCGCCCAATTCTGCCGAAGACTCTACCACGCCTGGGGGAGGATAGTAGCACATTCCTCCCAATAGATCAGTTCCGTTATCCTTTCTTCCCGATCTTCCGCCACTTTCTACCGTGAGAATTGTCACACGGTCATCTCTTTGATATAGCCCAACAGCAGGGTACAAACGAGAATCTAACGGAAGCCCCTCAAATGCAATACCCCATTCCTCAATTGCACCTCCCACATGACCTTGCCGTCTTGGAGAAGCAAGATTCTGGACGAGTGGATCCAAAGAGAAAGAGTTTGATGAATTTGTGTCTTTCCAAGAACTAAAGCCCAAAGTTCCTGCATCAGTATCCAACGTAACAATGATCGTCGACCCTGTGCGGAATGTAGCGCCATAATCACCCCGAATTTTTCGTCGGTCATGCCATAAAGCTTGCGTTCCAATCATACCCCAGCCATACTTGTCGCCTCCAACATACGTCCTCATACTAGCTTGAGAAGTTGCAACTCCCACAAATACATGGCCCCGCTCACACTTATCAAGCTTAACTGCCCACCGATAGACCCCTGTTTTCGGAGAATAACTTGTTGATGAAAGAACTGTACCCCAAACCTTTGAGGCCCTTTGATGGACCGAAGATCCGCTAGCCGAGCCTGATGATTCTAGACTGATTATGGCCATCGAATCCGAACATTTGGTAGCATCGAATTGTAGGTTGCTAGTAGGGGAGGATGCAACGCGTACAATGTCTCCATTCGCTGGTGTTGATGAAGGTAAGATATCGTCCGATTCAGGCTCCGTCGATGTGAACAGCCCATCCCACAACAGAACTCTTGTGTGATATCTGTGGCACAGCGCAAGAAAGAAAGACTGCAGCTCCCCGGTAATTCCTCCAAGTGATTTGGAAGAGGAAGAGATCAACTCGATGAGAGTGCAAGCACAGTTTGGCTCTTTGGCCACATCCATGTCGGCATCAACAGCCGTCTCATCATCTGGTGCAGGGATGTAACAAGCTGGCAGGGATACATAATGATCCAAGAGATCCGCCACTCTTAATCGTCGACAAAACAAGTGTAGTTTGTGAAATTGCTGCTCGTAGTCGGATGTTGGAAACGAAGAGATCTCGTCAACAGGATAAGCCTGTGCAGATTCTGATTTCCTGGAGCAACCGCTAAGAAGAGCCTTTAGCACTTCAATCTGTGATGATACGGTTGGACACAAAATCGGAACGCATTCACCCCATGTCAAAGATGAATCTCTGTACAATGTCAAAGGCATAAACACTTCTTCTACATCCTTCATTTTGTCCTTCAGTAAAGTGCAAAGTGTTTTGTACTGGGTAATCGAAGCTAGAGATTGCAACCCCATGGAAAGCTTCTTTAAAACTCCTGTTGGTAACAGATGGAAACAATCCAAGGCGGATATTCCTTGGCGTTCGTTCAGCCATCTCCGAACAACACTCTGCAAGAAAAATCTTATACATCTCATTGACAAAAGTGTACACTGTGAAAACAACTTGACTTTCAGTTTCCAACCATTTGTCCGGCCACGCAAGGATTTCAGTAGTGAGGCATTGTCGTGGGCTGCAGCGGCAGCTTTTCTTGGCATACCCTTTGATTCCAATGAATCCTTGGTTTCTTCGTCAACATAATGAAGCGCCATTGCAACAGCAGGGTCATCTCCCTCAGGTGAAGCTGCATTCGCATCTTCGTCGTCGAGCTCCGATTCGCCAATATCATTCTCTTGGGTGAAAGTGCTTTCCTTCTTCCAAGCTTTCTTGAGGTTCTCAATGGCATCATTTCTCCTTTCCGAGACCAACAGAAACAGTGCTACAAGCAACTGTAAGGATGTGGCAACACTGCCAGGGTTTTCCTTCAATGATTTGTGGGGTTTCAACATAACATTGCTGGCGGGAAACAAATGGGAACCAATACTCCCAGTCACGGTTGCTTTTGGAGTTTTCAAATCCAAGGTGTCTTCGGCAGCTTGAAATTTTCGTTCTTCAATACTTTCAAGCGTGTAGCGTAGCAAGTGGATAAGGATATGGGGTAACGGTAATGTTCCAAAGTGGTTAATGGCAGTTGGATCAAAATAGGGGCTCTTTGATGTGACAGAACCCCCAAGAGGCTGTAGCAAATCAGAGTACGGATACTCCATGGGTGCTGTCGGAAGTGGTGGTAGAGGGCTGTCGCTCTTCTCTGGTTCGTAAGGTTTAGCAGGTGTAGAGATATTATTCGTCGGCGTAACGGGCCCAGAAGGAGTAGCTGGGGTGTTCTCCGAGGTTGATGTTCCACCTTCCAGTCCTTGCGCTTGTTCTGCTAGACTCATTGCCAACGCCTGTCGCAATATCATATCTTCGTCGTCGCTTTCGTTGTCGCCTGGTTCCCCCGCGGAACTGGATGAAGAAGAGGAGGACGACACATTATTCGCCGCTTGGCGCCCTTCCCCTTCAAAGTCCGATTCTCCGTCGCTATCACTGACGAACGAATCGCCATCACCCTCATTGGACGACGTATCTTCTCCAGCAACAGCAGAAGCAATTTGTTCAAAAATAGCAGCACTCAAAGCTGCAGCTGCTGCATTCAAATCTTCTGCATCTTCTGGAATGGCAACGGCATCCGGAGTCGATGTAGGTTGTGGTGTTCCCGCAGTCGGAGTCATAGCGGGGTTGGTGCTTCCCGGTGTCTGTTGCTGTGAACGTGCACCCGGAGTTTCTTTATTTCTCTCACCATCGAGACGGGCCATCATTCTAGACTTTTGAATCTCAATTCGTTCTTCGTACGCCGAAGCCGCTTTTCCGAAAAAAGAGAGCGCTTCTTCATCAATCGCCCAAGAATTAGCATCACTGCCACCTGGATTTATAACCGATAACAAACCACCTACTTGAAGTGTTGGAAAGTAAGACGGGTCTGACTCTTTGTCAGCTTCATCGGATTCAAAAGAAGTCAAAACAGAAAGAACAGAAATCAAAGATCGATGGAGGGGAGACGAATCACCCTTGCTTTCACAAATTCCCGCAATAAGGGACTCCAATTGATACGGCCCATGGTGCGTCGGCTCTTCTTCAGTATTGTCGTTTACTTTTGCAAATGCTGGGTGATCCATCAACGACTGAAGTAGTGTTCTAAGTGTAGTCGATGACTCTCCCTCTCCATAAACATGTCTCAGAGCCGCTACCAATTGAGGCGAAGGGGTAATATTTGGTTTGTACAGACCTCGTTTGGCTGCTAGAATCTTCTCGTGGTGCCTCAGAATTCGTTGCTTTTTCTCGGTCGAAGTGGGCTTGGAAGTGGGGGGAGCTTCGTTGGATCCAAAAACTTGATCGTATTTCGAGGTCTGATCGATTTCATGCTTGGCTAACCCATAAGCCTGTTCTACCAAGGTTGCTTTTGTTACCAAATTTGCTCTATGCGAAAGTGTTTGTGGCACAGATTCCTCCTGCAATTGACCAACAAACCATGTGAGATCTTGGGATTCCCAATTTCACGTGAATGTCCTACTGGAGGATACGGGGGACTTACCAATACCCGAGTCGCCCGATAAAACGAACCTTGAGGTTCCATGTCAATCAGCGTCTCAATGGCACGTTCGCGCCCGGAAGGAAGCGTCTTGCCCCAAACCATGTTGCCTCTGTGAAAATTTATCTCTATTCTATTGTGAGCAATGGATGATCTTCTCTTTCGTGTTTCGGGAGACTGGACCGACAATGATGTCGTTTGTGAAACGACTTCGTTTTTTTCGATGCGGGACCGGGGAAATTCCGATCGGTTCCTCGTGAAGTCAGTCGAAACCGCATGATGACCGTTAGAAGATTTCCAATGTCAGTGCATAGTATGTGTCAAAAATGTCCATATTCAAACAAATACATTGTTGAGCAATACATGAGAGCAGGTATCATACCGTTACATACCAACAAAGTTTCTAATATAGTATTCCTATTCTGTGAAGCATGATGGAGCAAAGGCAACTCAAATAAACTGCTAACAGCCAGTAGTACTAGTACTAGCTCTAGCTATACTGCTAACAATAGCGAGTGTACTGTGGCGTCGACATACCGCACCTTGATTTCGAGCTCAAATCTGGGGTGACATTGGCAGAGTGCTGTGACAATCAATATATCTTTTAGTATGGTAGTCCTACAGTAGTTTATAATAGATATATTTCAAATCATATATTTCACGAAAGTGGATGTGTGTGAACTTTCATCAAGGTCAAAGTTCAAAGTGGCTAAGACTGAGTCAAACGGGTCGGAAAGCGTCTGCAATCTGCTCGTTTCACATAATTCAGGTTGATTGACTCTTGAAGAATCATCGATCATCGATCATCATATCATCAGTGTTACCATTGAAAACCTCCCACACGTTCACCTTGTTTTCAAAAGAGGCCAACAGTAACAATGTTTAAGAAATTTGACACAGATTCGACTAGCACTTCCACGCAAGTGAAGGCATCTGTCCAACGTGGTATCAAAGCTCAGATTGCCGAGGCTCACCCCAACATTACCGAAGAGCAACTGGACGCATTGTTGCCAAAGAAACCACCACTAGTACAATACAAGGCTGGCCAACATTTGATGCTTTACTGTAAACGAGTGGAGCGGGAAGGTGCAAGTCCATCCGATGAACCAGTATTTTTTCAACAACGTGATGGGCCCATCCTACCTGCGCTAAAAATTGTACACAAATATCCATCGATCAGCTTTACAAAGGTAACAGTTGACAAGGGAGCCATTCCATACCTACTTGGTGGTGCTGATGTGATGTGCCCGGGACTTACGAATCCAGGAGGAGAAATGCCTGCCGATGGTGAAGAGAAGGATGAGAGTGGATTTGATAAGCCGGGTCTTGCCAAAGGTGCAGGTGTGGTGATCTATGCGGAGGGCAAAGAACATGCCATTGCGACTGGTGTCATGAAGATGAGCTCTGCCGAGATGTAAGTGTGAAAGTGAATGGCAAATTAAACCCGCTGCAATGCCTTGTGTCTCACTCTCTATTTTTGTATGACTTGATAGACGGGAAAAGAACAAAGGAGTCGGAATTGAATTGATGCACCAACTGGGCGATGGATTGTTCATGAATGATGATCTTTAGATTTCAATTAGACTCAGTTGTAGCGCACTATTTTTATTTCTTTTTGAACTTGTTCACGTCCAGGTATTGTGAAAGGTAGTACAATGTACCAGCTTGACCCGATTTTCGTTCCTCCACCTTAGCCTTGTTGAAACATTCCTCCACATCCTTGACATATTTGTATACCGGGCCATTCATCTTACCCTGTGATGCTTCAAGAGCATTTACAAGCTTCATGAGCTTATCTGAACATGGATTTGAGCGAAATTTTGGTTGCTGTTGGGTGAACAAAGACAAACGAAGGCATATGTTAGCATGAGATGAAAAAAGCCGCACATACAGTACAGGTCCAAAGCGTCGGCTTCTTCCCGAGCTCTTGTTGAAAATTGATACAACTCAAAAGACTACAAACCTTTTTATAGATTCTGATTTGTTCGAGGGTGACTCGGAATTGCTTTGACCGTGATATCATTCTCGGTCTGTTTTGTCTCGTTCGTTGCTTTCAAGTCGTCGTGCGTCTCTATTGGAATGATATGGAGCAAAAATAAAAGGGAGATTGCTGAAAGACTCTATTGCGTCACACCTGATGGACCTTTCAGGATGATGATGATGATTCACAAGGAGAGCATAAAGAGCGACGACTCCGCGCACTTGTCGCGCGACGATAGGAGTCCTGAATCAGTGACAAATTTCAAAATCTCAGAAAATACAGTACGAGTACGGTATGATATGGGCAACACCCTGAATCCTCACCAGGTGCATGGCATTACTTTAAACCTTCTCGAGATATCGAGAGAAGTTGAAGATGATGCTGATGGAACAGCTATAAATGACCTTGCGTTGGTTGTTCTCAAGGAAACTTACAAAGCGGAATTGTGGCCAGATCAGAAAGCTTCATCCATTGAAGAGACTGCAACGGTCCAGAAAAAGGTTCTCAGTTTCTTGAAAATACAAGATAAGTGGACTGCATTGGGGTCCATTCTTTTAAAGAGTCAGGCATTTCATATCACTCAAAATTCCCAGGATGGTGATAGGATCATGGCTATTCTACCACGAACAGAACATCGAAAACCATACATTCCAACGGACAAGAAAGGATTGAACAACAATATGCACTCCCTCAGCATCAGCCATCAGTTTCCTTTTGTTGGTGCATTTCTTCTAGATAATACAGGAGTGGATACGCAGCGTATGGTAGGGCTGGATATTGTAACCTTTGACGAGTACAACAAAAGACTCTATTCCAACGAGGACGAGTTCCTGGATGTCTTCCGTGATTCATTCACGAAACAAGAATGGACAGCTATCAACGCTATGGAGCAACATCGGTTGAAAGAATTCTTTGTTCGATGGGCCACAAAAGAAGCCTACACCAAAGCACTCGGTGTTGGACTTGGATTCGAGTTTAATTCTTTCGATATTCAATTCAAATCATTCGAAAACGGAGAGCTGATAAACACTGGTCTTTGGAATCTTATTTGTTCCATGACAGACGGAGTTTACCTATCTGCAACTATTAATGGAGGGATGAATGTCCAGGGAAACTCGTTAGAAGTTTGGGAATTCTTTTTCCTCCCCCTCACCAGTAGAAGGGCGGAGACGGCAACTTCTGGGTGTTCTTGTGCGTGTCTCGGCCCTTTTGGGAGTCTGACGTCGGAGCCTAGAATGAAAGTGAATATCGGCTGGACAAAATTGGATTCTCTTTTGAAATGGCATAGAGATGAGTCGTAGAGACGATTGGGTCAGTCGCACCATAAAAGAGATAGATGTAGACTCCCATTTTTTCTTTCTCCATTCATTCACATAGTATGGCTGGTGGTACATTGACGTTTCATGACTAATTTGACTGCAAAAGTTTTCGGGATGTTGACGTTGAACCATCCAACACTTCTTCAATATTTCTCAACAAGAATCGACCATGACCTTTGTCGGCTTGCTACTTCTACTCTGTCTGGCGGTTCCTACACTTTCATTCCAATCAATGTCGAATAAAGTACAGTCGCGAAAGAGAAGTGCAGGCGAGCCCTCTAAATTATCGGCTGTTCCCAAATTGATCGTTTTCGATTTGGATAATACGGTTTGGACACCGGAGTTGTATCAACTGAGAAAGCTTGAACGCGAGAAGAAGATCCCTAAAGCAGGACAGGATGTTCAACTAATGGATGGAATGAAAATTGTCTTGGAGAACCATGTTCCAAAGTTGCAAGAGCAAGGAGTTCAATTCGGTGTTGCGTCAAGAACAAAATCAGTCGAGTGGGCACACTCGTAAGTATTCAAATATGCATGGATACTAACTGGATACCCCTTCGTCTTATCATACAATTCTCGTCTGGTACAGATTGTTGGGACAATTTGGGTTGAAGGACCAATTTCCTTATATTGAGATTTTCCCCGGCAACAAAAAAAAGCATTTTCAAAACATACACCTTGCGACTGGCATTGATTTTGCAGATATGCTTTTCTTCGACGATGCACGTGATGGAAAGTATGGGAATTGTGAGCCTGTTAGCGAAATGGGAGTCTTGGCGTGTCACTGCCCTAATGGAATCTACAACGAAGATGTATTTACTACTGCGCTCGAGACCTACAGTGCATGGAATCGGTCTCCAAATCACATCATCGAATGGGATGGTAAAGTCACCAACTCGGCCGAAGCTAGCACTGATAGAATTCCTGGCTTGGTCAAGAAGTTAGTTCATGACAAAAGGTATGGTTTTATTCAATACAGAAAAGGGAACGCTCGAGCTCGTGACATGTTCTTCCACTTTAATAACCTTCCTGAGGGCAAGTGTGCTCTTGAAGAAGGAGATGAGGTAACTTTTGAAATCAGGACAGATCCACGAAATGGAAAGCTAATGGCAGCTGATATTGAGCTCGAGATGACCAAGGATAGTGACACCGTCCAAATGAGAGTTTTCAGTATGAACATGCCGTTCGCAGCCTTGCTGGCAAATGGCTACAAGACTCTTGAAACAAGAAATGGGACAATGTTTACTCCGTACGCTGAAGGCACTCAAATGCTACTTCATGTTGGCAGACGAACCTATCCAGACGGAGATAAGCATATTGAAGTTATGAAGTCTGGTGGATTGTCAGATGGTGAGATTGAAGAACTTAAGAAACTACCTCCTGGCTTTGGACGAGGAAATGCTGTTGCGATTGTCGAGCTCGGCAGGACGTATGAAACCACTCTCGAGGAAAGAAGTGATCCCGAATTTCAAAGAAATGTTGCTGCATTTGGAGCTGATAGTGGTAAGATTGTGACAGAAATTAAGCGTGCTGCTTACTTGAAGAAGCCAATCAGGGTACAAGGTGCTGGTGGAGTTTTCAAGGCGCAAATTGATCCAGATGTTGTTCCAGATGGTTGGAGAGTACCGACCAACGAGCCTGTGGACGGCCTGGCAGAGTTTGCTTCGATATCAGGTTAATTTCTCAAAGTTGTTGTAATAATGTCATTGTAAAAGACATCCTGCTGTACCGGTACCGTATTCATTTCTTGAACAGGAGAAATACAGCATCGAAGTTTTGAAGAAAGAAACTATGGCAGTCTATGCTCTGACGTCACTCACTCACTCGTGTGGAGGATCGAATCGAGAATTATTGTACCGATATGCACATTCGTTGCAAAAGTGATTGAGTCAGGCATTGCATTGTAAAACAAAGGATTGTGAAGGCACGAACGAACTAGCGCGGGTCGTTTGAACCATCCTGACTTTAAGCCTATAAATACATTCAGCACTATTCAAACGACCAGGAGTCCCTGTATTGGTCACAATGATGATGAGAACTACTACCAGAGCCGCCACTCGCAGGGCGGGATATACCCAGTTTCGAGTTCCTCTGTCCCCGAGTTGGCTCCAAAATGGACTTATCCATCTACCATCCAGAAACGAAGAATACACTAAGCATCAAGCGATAGAAATACCGAGAATAGCGTTGCCGGCACGTTACTTTTCCTCCACGACCAACAACAGTAGTGCCGATAGAGGCGAGAAGAAAATGACGATGAAAGAAAGGGGCAAAAATGCTAGAAATGCAGGAAAGAAGGGAGCCAAAGCTGTTGGAGAAATGTTCCGAAGATATGGTCCCATCTTTGTGGGAACTTACCTTACCGTTTATGGAGCAACACTTGGGAGTATATTTCTCGCTATCGAATCTGGACTTGTTGATCCTGCATATGTATTGATGAAGGTATCGAGTACAAGTGCGGAAGCCAAATCCACAGGAGATGTAATTATTGAACTCCTGGATCACTATTCTTGGACTAGGCCGGCTGTTCCGATTCTGGAAAAACATCCAGAATTTGCTAATCTTGGCGTTGCCTGGGTGGCAACAAAGTTCACGGAGCCGCTTCGATTGGCAATCACATTCCCAGTTGTACCAAGAGTTTCCCGAGCGGTAGGATGGACCAAACCCGAAGAAGAAGAAGAAGACCCAAAGGCGTAGGCTGTATGGGACGAAGCAACGATAGTCCTTCAGACAAATCTAAATACTACAAAATGACTTGACAATTTAAAAATCCTTGTTTTTCTATGCTTCTGATCCAATAGATATCAGAGAATAAGGATCAGTTTCCCGGCCAACACATTTATATCTATACCACATGACAGTAGCATGCTGCCTTTCTGGTTTACTTTAGTACCTAGTACCGATATTAGGCCGTGTATTGTTGTTGCAAGTTCAAAGTCATAGTCTCAACAATATCCGCAACGTCTGTCCTGCACATCTGAGAAAGAGAAAAAATGATTCACAAAATCTGAAACGCAAGAAGTACATTTGTCTCCCTTTACGGTTCCTCAAAAGCATGATGCAGTCGGTCGTGAAGTCGTTTCGCTTGTCGTCGAGATCTCAAAGATTGTTGAATACGTCGGCAGCATGCTCTGAGAAGGTGACCAGTCGTGACACTCGTTTGGCAGGCCGATTGCGATTCTACAAAGAAGTGGATGTAACCGATGTATCGGCGCCATGGCAAGAGAGTGAGGTGAAACTCGACGATACTATTGCATCTCCTATCTCAGCAGGTGTAGATGGCAGTGATTCGGCATCGGGGGTAAAATATTTGCAAGACTTGGGATCATCACAACTGGAATACATGTTGTCACCTAGGCGTCCTGGATCCGTGGATACCACTGATTCCCCTATTGGATGGTTCGGTGTTACACTTGATGGTAAAACGTTGAAAACTCCCATGGGACAAACTTTGTCAGTCCCGTCCCAGAGTTTGGCCATTGCAATTGCAGCAGAATGGGACGCCCAAGAGAAGTACTTGAAACCAGCAGGCATGCCTCTCATGACATTGGCTTGTACAACTCTCGATCAAGTTGCCCACAATCCACAGGTATACCGTCAGGAATGCTTGAACTTTTTGCCAACAGATACGGTGAGCATTTTGCGAAATTTGACGCTGGTTGCATCCTTTCCCTTCACTTGACTGACAATTTCTGTCTCCAAACAAAGACTTGCTTTTGGGCTGATCCCACCACTGATCGAGGACTGCACCGTCGGCAAACAGAAGCGTGGAAAGACTTGCACGACTTTGTAGAAAAAAAGTTTAGGCATGCTCCTGCATATGCCATGGGAACAAATGAGGGAATGATTATGGTCCGAAAGCGCGAAAATCGGAATAAACCTTCTGGACTTCCTCACAACCAAGAGTTGTTTGACAGTGCAACAGAATGGACTTTTGCATTGGATGCTTGGCACTTGGCAGCATTGTCTAGTATGTGTTCTCAGGGCAAGAGTTTTTTGCTTGGCTGGGCTGTTTTGGAATCTGGCTCGCCCTTTAAGGAGGTGAGACAAGCAATTGAAGCGTCACGAGTGGAAGAAGAGTTTCAGATCTCGAGCTGGGGATTGGTGGAGGGCGGACACGACTACGATCGATTGAATTGCTCGATCCAGATGAATTCTGCAGAGGTTTTCTCGAAGGCTATATTACTAGACAACGAGTTGTAATATGTACTTGAAATGAATTTTAGTCAGAACTAAGAATGTTCAGACTCTGTTGCAGCTGCATGGTGTATCGATTCAGTGCTTCAACAATTTCGGCATCTTGGGCCTTTCTCTCCGTGGTTTCTTCGTCCATTTCTCTTTGTAGCAGTGCCAGTTCTTCTCGTACCTTATCCTGGAAGACGTTTTCTTCTTCCCTTCGCTTGACCATTTGTTGATTGAGGTGGTCTTCCAAGAAACGCACCCGGTTTTCTCGTTCCTCTTTCTCCAGCTTCCAGCGGACTTCAAACTCAGCAACATGATGCTCCACTTGTTGTAACAAATTGCCCTCCCGACGCAATCGCGCCTTTCGCTCGGTGTCTTGATCCGCCTGCAATGACTTCATTGCCTTTTCAAAGTCTTGTGACTTTTGATCAATAGCTTCCAGTTGCTCTTCCGAATCCTTTTTCCAACGATACTCCAATTCTTCTAAACGGGATTCCACTTGTTGCAATCGATTCTCAAGACGTTGATTATCTTCCTTCATTTGCTGTCGCAAACGCTCTTCCATTTCAAAAATCTGTCCTCTTGCCATGTCATCCAGTCTAGTGGTGGCATCCACTCGCCGTTTGGTTTCAGCGGCCAAGGCGTCTTCCAAACGGGAAATTTGCACCTTTAGTTCTGCGACACTGTATTCTTCCCTTTCTTTGCGCACCTAAATAGAAAATAAAGATGAGCAACCGGAAAGAATGATAATTCAAATCTCTGCTGTAACAATGGACTTACCCGATTTCGTTCTTTCATAATCTCCTCAAACGTCGATGCGTCGGAAGAGCTGACCACAAGTGTATCAACATTTTGAACCTTGGAGCTTGGAACGATTGCTGACCGATTGGGTGATGATATTGGAGTACCAGAAGTCATTGTTTCGTCGGTAATATGTGTTGTGTTGATGATGCCACTTGCTTCATTTGGTCCAATGAATCGACTGTCCTATGCTCAGACAGATGAAGAGCATTCCTCCATATGAAGAGCTCATAAAATCCACAACCTTCGATCTTGTTCCAACACAACAACATTCCTTGTTGCTGGAGTATCTTTCTCAAACTCAACAGAATCGTATTCAAAGAACAACGTTTCCTGTTCACCAAGAGATGATGACTCCACCAAATCGAATGAATCGCAGTCATCCTTGGTGCCAGCAAAGGCATTGGATATTTCATCGCCCTCCACTATTGGGCACGTCTCCTGGATTGTTCTTCTCGGATTTCGAGAATTTCAACAAGGCGAAAATGTCGTCAGTAAATTACAAGCTCAGATCCAAGGCAAGGATGAAGCCCGATTCCAATCCTTGCCCTTGACGATGGTGAGTCACACTCGGCATTCACTATAAGAAGAGTTTGGTGCTAAAGGAGAATATGTCTTGGTAAGCAGTCGGGATTGTACACAGAAACCAGCGAGAAAGAGTTCAAAACTATCGAGACAAACTACTTTGGACTTCGGACTTATCAACTTGACAGGAAAAAAAACTTCCTTTGCTTCGAAAAGGAACAGATCCAAGAATCGTCAATGCCTATTCCATGCTGGAAGGAAGACTGTCGATTGTCTCCGGTGACATGTAATCGAAACCCGCCTCGTAGTGACTATCACTCCTCTTAGATATTTTTGCCACCTTACGATGGCATTGTGATCATTCAAATTGCTTCCATCCCTCTGGCTCGATACCCCGGCTACTATTCTGTGACCTACAAGATAGACAGGCAGAAAACAACTGATGTAACAAGTCAGATTCGTCAATTGAATCAGCCTAACCACTGTATTGCTTTAGGTCAGCTACGCTTCAAAGCGGACCCAAGCCTTGGTCTGACCCTTCCAGGTCGCCCGGCTGCAAAGGGTCTCCATCGAGTTCATTGGGCGGTGCAGACGATGGACCATCCAAGATCATCCCACACCAGTCTTGAAGGACACCAGTATCCTCAGGATCTACGGTATCAGCCGGAGTATCAGTTAGAGAATGTCCCATGTTTTGAACTCGTAACATGCAACATAGTTTACTGTAATCGCTTTCGCAGGTAAAATTTGTGAGCCTGAGTAGCTCATCTGGGGGGCTCTTGCTCAAAAGCTCAGCGTTGTAAGACACATCCAGGTCTCCAAGGCCAAACAAATTGCCTATTTCAGTTGGTAGTTGAGATAGCACATTGTTTTGCAATTGGAGCGTGTCTAAATTAGACAAATTCCCCATTTCCGATGGTATCGAGTTGAGCCGGTTGGAAGCAAGAAGAAGATACAAGAGGTTTGGAAGGTTTCCAACTTCCGATGGGACCTGGGTAAGATTATTGTAGGACACTTCCAAGCTTTCAAGGTCATGTAAATTCCCAGCTCAACAAGTTGGTTAAAGCTTGCCAAAATCTCGATGAGGAGGCTCAGGTTCCCGATTTCTGTAGGCAACACTGCCAATTCGTTCCCGATGAGAGCAAGATATGACAAGGCAGCAAGCTCTCCGAGTTCAGTTGGCAGTTCTGTTAGCTTTGTACTGGAAATCGACAAATATTCTATGTTTGTTAGACGCCCAATCTCAGTTGGTAGCTGCCTGATAGGATTGTCTGAAAGCTCCAGATTTGTCAAGAGAGAGAGAGTGAGCCAATTTCAGATGGTAACATCTCTATCCCATTTGGAGATGTGTTTAGTACAAAAGATTCTGAGAGATTAGGATGGGCAAAAAGAGAACGTTTTGGTCAGTAATCTAAGGTGGAATATATCCAAGATGTCCCTGACGCACCTAATCTCCTTAGAAACTTCAATTCTGATGGAAGACTATTTGTCACGGCGTTGCCAACTGTCAAGCCGACAACATACTCATGCTCGTCACAATCAATTTGGAAATCATCAATGTTCCAAACACCATCGCAAATGTGCTGCTCCGAGGTCACTCTAACACCACCTGGAGTGATGTCCAATAGTTTTCTTATGGCATACCGTTCGAGCAAGTGTTCCGGATTGCGAGCGCATATTCGATTCAGAGTTGGCCCACTTCCCAACCCTTCGAATTCTACCACTGACAACGATGGATTGCCGGAGACATCGCTGGAGCAAGAAGCATCGAGATCCGATCTAATTGCGATTGACTCCGAAATTAATGTCTCCCATCCACACTGCGAGTCCGGGATACGGAGTTCAAACGAACAGCGAGAGTTATATTGAAACATGAATGGTTCGTTTGTGTCCCCAGCAATAACCGATATGTTTTTAAAGAAAGCGGCATAAGCTGTCTCCATCGGGAAGTCAAAAGTGCATACAGAGCCATATGGGAGATTCAGCTCCTGTCGAAAGGAAGCTTCGTCCGTTTCGAAGCCCAATAGAGGAGTTTGGAAGTATAGAATCCCATCACAACGAACTGTGACTGGGATAAAGTCCGCGTAGCCTATAGTTTCAGCCAACGGAGAAACCTCAAGAGTCACTTTGGCCATCCGCGGATCGATACAATGCTCAAACCAAAACGGAAGACTGATGAAGTCTGGCTCTGATTCTGGCAAGATTCCAAAAGGAATTTGACGATTCTCGAAAGTGTCATGGACCTCCAGCGAGAAAAAAACACTCCATTGTCTATTGAATGGAGAGGGCAGATCATCCTCTCCACAAGTGGGCCCAATACAAGTACCCAGACTGGAAGTGAGAAAGTGAGAATACAAAGCCACTTGGTGGTACCAGTCAAGTCAGGGTGAATAGAATCAATCTGCCTACGTACCAACAATCGCCTTCATCATAGCCAAATTCCGCCGTATTAAAGTAAACATTGCAAATACCATTTGCAAGTGGCTTGTCTTGACAAAGAGCCCCAGAAGCACCATGTGTACAGTTGCAGAAACCAGTGTCAGTGTTGCACTTTCCTTCGTACAAGCAAGGATTGCTATCATCATCACAGAAGCCACAGGGAAAGGGAGCTGTCACTGGTCTAGCAATATCAGCCGCGGGAAAATCGATGAGAGGGCTCTCCTCGTACCGTGGATAAAACCAGAGAAGACCAAGAGGCGATCCTTCATCGCTGCTGATTTCCACTCTCTCGCTTACTAAACTGACCCACTCGCCAATCTGTCTTGTGGATTGAAACCTAACTTGGTCTCTGTAGAAAAAGTCTTGGAGAACGTCGACAGTTGTAATCCCAGCCCTAGTAGTATTGAGACCAAAAAGTTGGTTGCTATCTGTAAGGACCCACCGATGCCCAGTGAAGAATACCAGATCAGTAGCGTTTGTTCTCGTGTTTGGAGTTTTTGAATAATATATTGGCCTCGCTGTTGTGGCATCAAAGAAATCCCGATTGTGAAGTAAATCATCAACGGGAAGTATCTCCAACGAACCTTCTGCCAGCCCTTCAATTCGACCACAGACTTCTTCACGCGACGTCTCAAATACGGCTCGGCCGCATTCCTGCAGTGGATTGTCCATCCCGTTCATTTCCAGTAAGTCAAGGGGACGGTTATCTGCTGTATACCACTTGGTACGCCCGGCTATTCTACCACATTAAATGTAGCTGTAGCACCTGATCGAAGAAGGTAGTCGCACGGGTCTTGTAATCCTCCAACAAAGAATGTCCATCCACCTACACCTCCATTAATACTACTGCAATATCCAAATTTCCCTCCATACTCTTCAGCAGCAACTTGCATGTATACTAGCCTACCTTCTCCGAAATCATCCACGTCTTTTGCCTCGTAGCATCCACTGAAAAGACCAAGGAAGGGAACAACCTCGTCTCCAAATTCCACTTGGATGTTTTGTATGGAGTAAACCCCAGAGTTTTGGCGCCACAATAATACACCGAAGCCAACTAACATGGCAATTAGCACTAAGAGAGATGCGATGATATGAGATACTCTCTTGATCCACTTGCGTCCACGCTTCTCACGGTAGAATTCGGTTTCTTGGATGTCTTGCACCGTTTGTTTTAAGGATTTGCCAAAGTAGCCAAGCCGAGTTCAAATGCCTGATCATCAATGTCTCCAACAAATGACATTCCGAGGAAATTCAAAAGAACATCGAAGACGTTCTGGGATTGCATAATCAAGATGAAAGCGGCAATCAAACTCAGGGCTCCCTGAAGGGTCTTAGAAAGACATGCTGAGTACCACTGAAAGGGAGACATATTCTGGAACCGTTGACCTTCCAATCCACCTCGATATGCTTGCGGAAGGCCCTGGAATAGGCTTTGCATTCCAACTAAAAGATCGTTTTGCGTGAAGATAGCAATGAAGATCGCTAATGTCTGGGCGAGGCGTACTGTTGTCTCAACATTAGCTGGAAGTCTCAACGGATTCGAAGATTCGAAATCTACGCGGTCAGCAATCAGAACTATCAGCATCGTGTACTGGAATATGAATATGACCAAAACGCTGAACCAAAATGAGGGCGATGTCAATTTGGAAGACGCAAGGACCATGTAAACGTCTTCTGATAGCGTGAAGCAATTCACTGTCTCCTCGTTTGCGATGGAAGTGTGATCCAATTCTTTGCACCTCGTGCTTTCCCAAACCACCAAATCATCAGCAACTTCCTCGTTGCTACTTTCAAGCTTGTCAACCTTCTGTTCAAGCTCCCGAAACTTGAAACGGACCCAATCTTCAAAGTCGTTCACAGAAGCGCCGTTGCTTTCCAAATTCGTCATTTCCGCGGTACTTTCGAGGGAACTGTTCCTCGCTGAAATATGCAGCACTTCTGAATGAGTATATTTCAGGTAAACTGACTACCTATGCCACTTCCAAATCTACTTCTTTGAGATGGCGACTTCCGAGCAAGATTTGCGGTGATCAAGATCCGACAGAAATCTGGTCACGCCTTGTTTTCTGGCGTCAGCCATTACTAACAGGTACTCCGCACGAGCGGTACCAGTAGGCTTAACGATGCTGTCCTACGTGGAATCTTCGCGGAATCATTAAAAAAGCTATTATTTAGCCACAAATGGACAAGGATTTCGCCGAAATTACAGTTTTTAATGTACAAATCTCGTAGCACACCGCACCACCCCTATGAAACATATTTTGGTAGGGGAAGCCTCGCAGAATAGACAGCGCAATTTGTCCTACAGCTACCAGAAAATAATCAGGAGAAATCGCCGCGATCCATTTTGATTGGCTTTTCATTTTCTGTTTGAGAACAATGAGAGCTGTGTCAAGACTTTCAGAATGCCGAGTCATACAAAACGTGACAGACCAGATGATTGATTGCACCACACAAAAACTCGCAACACACAAATTGAAAATACACACTGTCTGAAAGCAGAAGCGGAGTGGGATTTATCTTGCTACTGCACTGCTCTAAAACGAATGAGTTTCCAATCGGAAAGGAATTATTCTGCTGAAATTTACTGTAGGACTAAAGATTTTATTTTATCTGGTTTTATTTCTACCTGGCTGGTTTTGTCATCGGCGGCAAGCCAAGGGTATCGATAGTATCTGCGTCTAGCAGGTCTTGACATCCATGCATGAAAGGCTTCGTCGTTTAAGAAGCTTTAATTTTTGACGATGCTGTGCGTATTGATTAGTAAAGAAGTAGATAGTCCTACATTGCTAAATTATAGCATTTACAAACAATAAGAGTGACAACCTTTAATCTTCACCAAGTTTTGTCTTTTCTCCCCCAGGGAGGGTCCCCCGGGAGGGCCCGCCGGGAGGCATTTGATGCAATAGTCCAAAAAAGATAAGCCCAGTGTCGTTAGAGGGAAGGGTCGTAACGTGACTGACTGGACTGCCGAGTCCCAAGCAGATATATTAGAGCGATCGAAGGCCAACGGTCGTCGCCAATCTCAAGCCAAGATCAATCATCTATCATCTACTCACAGCTGCTTCAGACCCCCGTAAATACACCCCAATAGCAATATCAATCACCGTCTATCATGTCCAACGGTAGCTACATCAATGCGCTAGTACGCTCTCTCTACGATGAGAGTCAGGAGCCCTACGTTATCACGTTAAGTGGAAGCCAGCCCAAGATTCGAAGCCCCAACGCATTCGATTTGCAGTCAGAGCCACCAAGTTTATTCACACAAACAGCCAACACATGGGGTGGACACTTCAACCCTGATCATTTCCAGCGCAACGCGTTCGCTATGATGTCAGCAGTTCCTGTCAATATGGAGAATGCAGCGTTTGCCGCGATGACTGCCGCGTCACATCACAAATATGAAAAAAAACAAGAAAATAAGCGATCGTATCAACAAGAAATTGTATTGGGTCAATGGAAGCCACGTGGACGAGACCATCACCTACAATCAGTACACCATTGATACTGCCGTCATAGCTCCAACCACAGAGTCTCCAGAAATCAAGCAAGCGATCCTCCAACAGTCTGTGAATTCCATCAAGCAGACGAAGACAACAATGGAACACAAGGTGGATTTCTTGATGAAGCACTACACATCAGTATGCCCAGACGTTCGCTCGCGCGTCAACGCCGCCACCAGCGAATTGTTCGACGTGACCAGCGAGGTGTACGAGTTCACAAGCCTGCATGTCATCGATAACATGGGACAACCGATCGCTACAGGACCGGGACCAGGACTTCCAGCGCCATTTAGAGCCGCCGCTACATACTTCCGAATCAAGCTCAGATTGGTCCCCCGGCTTTGCTCCCTACAAACTGACATTGGAATCGACCCAAAAAAGTTCCCACCGTCCTCCAATAGAGCTGTATACCTTCCAGTGCCAAGAGTCCAGAACCAGATTGATGTATCCATCACTCGCCAAATGGTAACAGACCAAGCACGTCACAAGAAAATCATCGCAGCAATGGTAGCATTGGGAGAAGAGTTCTCGATGAGAGCCGCAACCAGAGACGGAGAACCTGACAACAAAGCCTACGAAAAGTGGTCCAAGCAACAGATTGCCAAGACCCAATTCCAAGCGCTCGAACAAGCACTCATGGCCACCTACGTCGGACTACAACAAGGAATGGAGACGCCAAACCAACAACTGGCAAAACTCAACATGATCCGATATGAAGGAGGCACAATGATGTACGACAGCGTGGCTACGTTATTTGGCAGAATCGCCACGATTCTAAACGGGTTCAATCACGAGAATCCCCCACCAACCAACCTATCGGACTTGGCAGGCGTAGCATTCCAAGCCTTCACACAAGAAATCAAGGACGTTGTGGCTGAACACCTAGAGACGGGAGCAGCAGGACCACTACTCATGGACTACCCCAGCAACCTGACTTGAATGCACCGCTTGCGTGAACAAGCAGAGAAGGAGGAGAAGCGCATCACGCAAATTGTGGGAATTGCAAACAGCGCGGGACTAGTCAGACCAAACAGAAGCTACGTTCCAGGACCATCTGCACCAACGAGACCAGGAGGAAGAGCTTTTGCAGGATTCCACCAACAAGGATTCCAAGACAACTGCTCCTTCCAAACTCCAAAGATTGAGACTGCTGGAACCTTCCACACCGCATTGATAACCCCTCCAGCACAAGAGCAAAACGTTCGAGTCACCAACGGACAAGGAAGACAATTGTTGGTCCCGACATCCAACAGCAAACTATACTGCCCACAAGCTGCCCTAACAATGCTAGCATGCATGAGTGCCGCCAAAGAAGTATTCAACATCAAAGAAGAAAGCAACAAAACATCCTCAATCCATTGTTGGGGATGCCAAAAGATAGGCCACACATTCCGAGAATGCCCCCACAAAGGAGATCCGGGAGTTATCAGCCAGTTTGAAAAAAGCCTAGAGGACTACAGACTAAAGAGAGAGCAGAGACGACACAAAAGCGAGATAACAAGTTACAAGGACAGAGGTTATATTAATCAAATAGTTTATGAAACAATTCAAAAGATTGAGCATGCAGAAACGCGGGAAGATGAACAAAGAACACTGTTAGTAAACTTGGCCAAAACAGTCAACGAGCACATGGGCAAAAACAGCGGACAAAAGAGGAAGCAAATGAGAACGGATCCCCCACTCACTTTCATGACGGTCGGAAGCTTTGCAACAATGGAACAAGCACGAAAATTGGACTTCTCAGTGAACGAAGTCCTAGCAGTGATGCACTTCCCAATTGGCCTCAACCTCGGAGACACAGCCAACTTGAAAGGAATATACGACACAGAAGGATGCTGCAACATAGGAGAAAAAGCATACCACCTCACCATCGCAAAACAATACCCCCAATTGGTCAAACAGGTGTACGACTTTCCAAAGATTCACTACGCCCCCATCAAGATTGAAGGAATCAAAGACAGCGTCAACATTGAGGCAATCATTGAATACTACATCCCTTTTGCCAACGAGGATGGAGAAAATCACACGTTGATGATTGGATTGACGGAGCAACTACCCATCAACACACTCTTTGGATTACCATTCATGTTGAAGGCAA